CAGGAGGACGGTGTCCAGATGATGCTCAAATCTGTTCTTCACTCTATTACGCACATCCACGGCGGCTGTGCGGAACAATGGCTGTGCGAAACAAAGCGAAGAACAGATTCGAGCAGCGATGCGCGAGAAGGTAACCGAGACTATGCCTCAAGCTTCATATCGGGAGAGGAGCTTTCGAGGTAGTTTCTGCAGTTACTCAAACTTTCTCTTTCCCCTTCCCTTTTTCAAAAGAACACGTCAGCCGGCGCTAACTTTTCATCTCGGGAGAAGCCCACTCTTCACAAACGGTTATAGTTGACAAGGAGGCTGACCTCGACCCAACTAGTCTCCGGGCAGAATACAAACACAAGTATATTTACCAACACGCTCGTTTTAATGTCAGTCTCTGGGCTTTGCTGTTTCCAAAAGAGATAACCCTTTATAAGGACAGAACGAGCGGGTTGGTGGGGATAATTAAACTTAAACAGACCCTTCTCGTTTTCTTCCTCAAGTTTAATAGATAACCCTTCGGTGCTATCGGATCTCCCCGGAGAGAGATAGAGCACGGCCGTTTCAAGGTAAGGATAGGGCGCTCGAAGCTAGGGCAAACAGGCGGTATCGTTTAACGCATGCACGGATGGCTGGTTTCGAATTTCCCCACATCCCTAACGAAACCGGCCCATCTTCGTGTTTGTGTCTGCGGGATTTGTGTCCCGCGCCGCCGGTTTTAGCGCGCACGCGGCGTTGTTTTGGCATGCAGAACAGTTGTTGACCGTTAATATTGTAAGGCCGTGGTGTCCTCATCCTTTCAGGCAACGATTCCTTTGCTTTCCCTTGTGCAATACTTGGACTGACTCCTCCTGGGTGGCTGTCACTGTTCGCCACGTAAACGAAACATTCGTACCATTTATTTCACTCCTCGTGACACAGGGTGCGCTGCTCGCTTTTTTGTTACGGGCCGTCCTATCTAACACAACGAGCGCGAAAGGTCGTGGCCATCTGCTGGCTCCGAACGGGCGGGACGTTCATGCAGGGCAATGAGGGCCCTGAATCAATACGACGTCTGCCGACTCCTACACGTTAAAAATTTACGACACCTGCTGGTCTGTTAAGAAGTGTTGCTTTCTCTTTTGAACACCTCCTGTGTAGCTTGCCGCGTGTAATAAAATTTAAATAATCAATAAATATAACAGGGTGGAACTACTATATTTGAGTGTTATGTGGGAAGGTTAGAAAAGGCAAAAATACTTCCAAGTTTGTGAAGACGCGCTTTTCGCAAGTCCCATTTCGAGCCGTGAAAACACGTTCTTTTAACGATATTGATGCTTAAATATGGAACATACAAACAAAATATACACTTTCTAGACTTGATTTTCGTGTAGAAAACTATCACATCTACATTTTAACAAAAAATAAAAAAAAATAAAAAATGGGTTTTTTGAGAAAATCAATTTCAAAAATGGTACTTTTTGGTTTTCACATAACATTAACGTAAACGTACCGCAAAGGATAATTTATACAGCTGAGTCATTTTAATATACATATAAGGAGCGTGTTTTGGGCTCTCCGTGGACATAAAAAATATTGATATAACCCAAGTAGATCGCCAGTAATTAATTGTCAAAGTTCGCCAACAATTGATCGAGGGGGCGTTTTTGACATTTTTACAGAAAAAAAGCAAAACGCCTAAAATTATTTTATGGTATTGGAGCCTTTTAAATGTGTCCACAGAGTGCTTTAAAAAAACAATATAATGTGGACTGAAAATCCACGGCGGGAGATCAAGCGAAACATCCGACCCACGACGGGTGTGAAAAACACTGCTTTTCGCCGCGGCCTCTTTAAAAATTCGTAAGTCGCGAACAAAAAATCCGACGAACTTGCGGTCTGCGGCGACTGCGTTTTTAAAAACGGCACCATAACATATATTTTTTTCATCGAAATTAAAAATTCGACCCTTTTTGCCTGCACGATTTGAGATGAAACCACCCATATATATATAGGGACGATTGACAAGTGCAGCCGTAGTGATATTATAAAGGAAAAGGGGAGAGCGTGATTATTAAATTTATTACATCAAAGTTAGGGGCAGTTTGACGTAATAAATTTAATAATCACTCTCTCCCCTCTTCCTTTACAATATATACTATATATAAACAAACGTTCCATGACCCGCCATTGCACACTCACACACACACGTATATATGTGTGTGTGTGTGTGTGTGTGTGTGTGTGTGTGTGTGTGTGTGTGTGTGTGTGTGTGTGTGTGTGTGTGATGGGGGCGTGTTATGGAACGTTTTTCTTCTCGTGTTGATTATATCAAATATTATAGACACATTATTTGACAGATGTACTCGCATATTATTTCTATAGTATGCTTTTTCCTTCTTGGCTCAGCTACTGGCGAGCAATGTATTTTGAATTGAACATGTAAACTTTAAAATGGTTAGCGCCTAATATCGACTAACCCCCGAAGAACAAGCAAACTGTCTCAAAATTTGCTTGGGACAATTTTGTCCGGATCCCATTCTATATATTATACAATATGGCCACCTGTCAAAGAGCGGAGTTCGCGCCTGGTGTAGCGAATTTAAGTTTCCCATACTGTACTTTTTTTTACGTCGTGACGATTAAGATTCGAAACTGTATCACGTTTTTCAGGGCGTAATATTCGACGAACATACCCGTATTACAGATTAATATGAATTAGAAACACGTACAGCGCATCCTGGATTTTTGTTTTCTTTCCTTCTTCGGGTGCCTATACGAATTCCTAACGAGGCACTGCAGAGTTGTTTAAAACCACTAGGTGCACCAACAGCGATGAATCTTCGGCCGTCTTAAGAATTTCCTGCTTGGCAGGTGGTGAATCTTGACGTGTTACGCGGACGCAAGCTGCAAAAGGACTAGACAATTTACCTTTTTTTTCTTTTTCTTTTTTTCTTTTGGTGACGATCAGTGAATCACATAACAGCAGGGAAAAAAAGCAGGACACGAAAAGTTGAAATAAACAACAAACGAGTAATAAATAAAAAAAAAAAAAAAATTCACTCCCCTAAGTCGCTTTCTTGTAAACAGCCAACAAAAGCCAGCAGTGTTTTTGTTTTGTTTTTAGGTTTGGGAGGGGCGCGGGCGCGTGCGGGATCCCTATCTGATGGGGGAAAACCTCAGTTTGAGGGCAAAAAAGAAAGAAACGAAGGAAAAACAAACAGTCGACGTAAACATAAAGCAAAAACAATCAAGACTGCAGGAACAAACAACAAAAACATTCCGCTTTTCTTGTTTTGTTTTCGAAGAAATGTTGCAGGGGGATAGTGAAGGAGCCGACCACAAAAATACAGATGCTGTGGAGATCCCCGTGTGTTAAAATGATATCCACGTTTCGGGATATCCAATTAATTCAACAGCACTTATAGCAAAAAAGAAGGAAAAAAAAAAAAAAGAGTTTTATGTGTTTCGTTTAGTTTAGATGGACATCAAAATGCCGGTGATTTCAGTTGCGGGAAAACGCGCGCGTGCTTGCGGTCGCCATTGGCTTCTGAGCTAAGCCAATCAACGGCAACTTCGGCTCGGCCAATAAAAGCGGTCGCGGGACGCGCCAATTTTGAAATCGTACGCGTGTCTCGTGCTGTTATCTCTGCCACTTCGCTGCTGGGTGCACCGCGTTTCGTGTTCATTGTGTCGTTTCCGGGCTCTGGATTACTTGGTATCAACCGTAAAAAAAAAATTTAAGGAAGCATAAAGCGGAGCAGCCAAGTTTGTAATCCTTCGGACTCAACAGGACCGGATTTTGCAGGACCGGGTTTGAGTGCCTAAAACGACACATTGTTTTTAACAAATCTATGCAGTCGAGTTCGATCAACAACAGGGAAGAACTCCCACCGTATCATCGTATTGGCTTACGCGGAGAATAAACGTCATCGGTGTCTCTCTTTGCAGCTGAGGCGTTCTGGACCCGTCGTTTATGTTCTCGTTTTCTTTCCCCCTCTGACTCATTGGCAACTCGGAATTCCAAGACTCAGGTCCGCGTCCTTCGGCGTAGCTCTCTCCACCTCAACGCAGAGCCAAGATGCAGGTGCTTCGGATGGCCTTGGGGGAGAAAAAAGCTGCGAGCCCCGCGTTGTTTCTAGCTTCGCCATCGTGTGCAACCTGCGAGCGCGGGCCCCCCATTGTCCGCGCATCGCGCTCCCAAACCTCGAGGGGGAGGGTGATGGTCCTTCCTGTCCGAATACCTGGAAAGGGAGTCCCCATTGTGCGGAGTCTGTGTATGTGGGGGGGGGGGGACAGGGGAACAGGTGGATTCCTCCTCTCCCGACCGAGGCTCGCGACGAACCCCGCAGGGCGTTCGCCCGGAACGCGGTGTTGCCTCCCTCCATCGGGATGTGAGAGGCTCTGCCGTGCGACGGCCCCGGGGTGTCCGGGGACCGCCCGGTTCCCGCGGGGGGCCGGCGGGGCTCCCGCCTCGACCTGCCGGCGGGCCGTGGCGCGCGGCGCGGCGGAGGTCGTCGCCACTCGCTAGAACCGGTTCTCGGGGCCGCGGCCCACTTCGGCGGCGACGCGGCCGAGGGGGCGCGCCCGCGGGGGAAAAAACACTCGCTGCCACGACGGCGGGGCCCGGACCCTCGGGAAACATGGCGCCGCCGACTCCGGACGGGGGAGAGAGGCGAGCCGCAGACGTCACGGTCCCCGGCGCGGGTTCCCGGGAGCCAAGGCCGTCGCCGCGGCGGCGAGCAACCGGTTCCGCGAGAGGCGTCGTACAAACCCCGAGCGCGCTCCACGTACGGCCGGCCGCCCGCGGCTAGCCTCGGCCCGTGGGACGCGTGGCTTCGCGCGGCCGCCGCCATTTCCTGGTGCCAAGGCCGCGATTTCGCCCGTCGCGCGGACGAGAGCTCGCGCGCGAGAAGCGTCCCGGGCCGCGCGGCCCGAACCCGACACCCGGGCGCGCAGCATCCGGCGGCGGACACCTGTTGCGCAGATCGGGTAGCCGGCGCGACAGGTGCACTGTCAGAGTAAGAGCTCACCGTCGTCCAGGTAGTTGGTCTCGGAGTCGGTGCCGGCGAACTCCTCGGAGCCCATGCTCTCGTCCACCTCGCTCTTGATGAAGAGGGCGCCCTTGGCGCCCTGCGCTAGTACAGTGGCCAGAGCATCGTGGTAGGTGGCGATCTTCTTGCTCCGCTTGCCGTACTTGTACTCCTTGCGCAGGCGCTTCATCTTCTCCTTGACCTGGAGTGCGGTACGCAGGTAGCCCAGGGAGCGCATCTGCGCTGCCATGCTCTCGTAGACCTTGTTGTTGCGCGACGTGCCGTCCAGGAGATCCCGATCCGCCGCCCAGATGCGGATCAGCTCGTAGGTCTCCTGGTCGCTCCACGTGAGCCCCGCCATGCCGCAGTCCGCCAGAGCGCCGGCTGGCCCGCTCCCGGCCCGACCACCACCCGAGTGGCAAAACCCGTCTCCAACCTTGAGCGGGTTCCCGGCAGGGTTCAAAGAACTGGCGAGGAGGCCGGGAGAGGGCGGGCGCCACTGGCCCGGCGCTGATAGCTGCCCTGTCGCCCGCCCGGCCGCGGTCGGCGGGGCCAGGGTTCGGCCGCCTGGCAACCTCCTTCCGACACCACCCCGCACGTCCACCTGTTGCCGCTGGTGTTCTCCGAGCGCCGCTGCTGCGCCATCCGCCGCGCCTCGCCAAGCAAGCCCGGCTTCGAGCCAACGGGGACACTGACGGAGGGTCCGCTGCCCGGCCGCAAAACTCCACGGTCGCCGAAGAGGGGCGAGGGGGAAGCGCGCGCTCTCGCTCGCTCGCTGGCCGACGCCGGAAGGCCCGCGGGTCCCCCCCTCCCACGTGACCGACGGACCGGCCCCCGAGAGCCCGAGCCCGCCAGGGGCGCCCCCCCTGCGCCGCCGTTCAAGCTTCGACTCGGGCCGCGAATGCGAGCCTCGAGCGCGGCGAGCCCCGCCTCGGCGGCACAACACGGCTACTCAGTGCGGTCGTGCTCGGCGCGTTTCGAACAGCCCGCGGCCTTTAACGTGTCGTCGTCAGCTGACACCTGACGTATCAATTTTCGGGAGCTCTTTCGGTTAGACGTTCCCCTCGCGCCTTTTCCCAGCGCGGATTGACCGAAAAAGGAGCAAAAAGAAAAGGAAAGAACGAACAAAAACTTGAAGCGCAAACTGATGATTAAACATGAAACCCCAAAAAACTAGAAAAAAAAGAAAACGAAGGACGACACAACATTTATTCAAGTAGAAACAACTCGGGACTTTTATTGACATTCCTGCGCTCGTGCAACGAAGGCACCGAGCGGCATGATAAAATAAAAGAAAAACGCAATTCAGCGACGTTTCTAAATGTATACAGCTTGCACGCATGTAACGGACCCCAGGAGGTCCGGCGCGTCCGAAGCCCTCCCCAACGCCCCACCGGGCCCCTCCCCCCAAAATTCCGACGCATCGCCGCTTTCCCGAACCCCCAATCCACATTCGGGACCCCGTGCCAAGCCGTATGTTGCGCTTGCAAATTACTTTTTGTAGCAGACAACGAGCGCGCGCAAAAAAACCGTAAAAACGCGCGCGCACTTGCGCGCCCGTACGGCAATCGCTTGTACCAGGAAGGCGCGCGCGGCTGCCAGCCGCGTCGTTCCAACCGCGCGTCCTATGTGCGGTAGCATAAAGTAGCGCCTTGTATTGCCGCGCCTAATTTTCGATTCTTTTCTTCGGAAATACGCACACCCCACGCCCACTCACAACGAGCGTTTCACAGCAATCGACGAGGCTCATGGGTCAGAATGAGTGGTCACGAAATATAAATGAGCCCGAACCGAAACCTTACGCTGTTTTCGCTAAGTCCAGTGAGTGGAACATTGTTCACACAAAGCTTTGTCATCAGAACCAGAGCTGATCAGAACGAGGTCCACGGCGCCGCCCTAAAACAAGCAGAAACCTCTATTTTTCAGTGCCGCATGCACATGCGAAGTATACTACAGGTTCTAAAGCAGGACTGCACAACTAAAAAATTACCCGGGCCATAACAAAAAACAAAAAATACACGTTTATTGGGAACTACGCAGGTTTTTAATAACATGTTTTCAATAACTGGCATCATCGCGCTGGTTGTCGTCTTGACCATATCTCGCAGTGTCATGTCCGCGGACGGCATGTTGTGCGCATTTTTTTTTTAAGCCAAATAAGACAGCTCACCAAAAAGATGGCTCCTGTACGTTGCCAACAAACTCGGCTCCAAATCCATAATATGAACTCTGCCGCAACAAGACGAAAACAAAAGAAACACGAGCCTTTTTTATTATTAATGACGGACATCAGAAAATCAGATACAACACGCCGTGTCCAACTCCGTTTTTTTTTTTTTTTTTTTTTTTTTTTTTTTTTTTTTTGCTTGTTAGATTAATATCAAATTAAACATTATATTAATATTTAAAAGAAAACAGCTTGTTTTTTTGCTATTTGCCATTAGACCGCAACTGGAACCCATTTTGTTACCTAAAATCTCCTACCACAGAGAAAAAAAAAAATAGCAGTCAGCAGTTTTTTTATAAAGTGTACTTACTTTTTGTAACCATTTCCAACTTTGTTCGCTGAAAGCAAAACAGCTGCTTTTCACACCATCATTTGAAAACCAAACAATTAAATGTTAGCTTTTAGCCCCCAAGTCTGGCGAGACAAGGTGCTTGGAACTAAAACCAACTTCATTAAATTTGCATTTTCCAACTCCTCCGTGTCCACGAATTGGGACTTGTGGGGACCTGTTTCCTTTTCAACTCTACCCACTACCGAGATGTCCCCCTTTGCATAGCCTCATGACGCGGGCATCCCCAAAAGACAGCCCAACAAGGAGTAAGGCCGTGGGGACATGTGGGAGGGCGGCGGAGAGAAGCTCACCGGATAAAAGCTCACCGGAGATAAGCTCACCGGAGAAAAGCTCACCGCAAAACCGGCGGATGCGGAGAAAAGTTCACCGGCCTTTGAGCGGATGCGGAGGAAAGCTCACCGGTTTTTCTTTAATTTAGCCGATTCTGCGTCAAACATGGTAATTTAACACAATTTGCATTCGTCACTTCATTAAAAATATGTCCTCTTTTTTGTGATATCCTTGAAGTTCATTGGGCATATTTACTAAATTCTCAGAAATTAGTAATCATCTCTTCTGTATATTAATGAAGCCGAAAGTATAAAATCAGAACATCGCTCACCGGTAAAAAAGACAACAATTTATTGACAACTGACAGTGCGCCGTCGGTAGCTCTGTCAAAGCGGTTTGTTCTTTGCGAGCTAATATGAATAGTGGTGTGTTAATAGTTTTAGCACCAAATATTACATAGTGCCTAATAGACAAGTAGGTATTGATGTAATCAGTGTCGGCTACGCTGTCTCCTTTCTATTAATTTCACTAACAATACTTTAGTTGCGAGAACAGGTTCGTCCCGTCGTGTTTGTTGTCTTCACTCCGTCGTCGTCATGTGAGCGGTTTTTATCATAACGTTTACCAACTCGCCCTATTTGCTACCTTACAGAACACTACTTCTCATATAGGTCACGAGTAACAACGGTCCCAGTGTGCAGTACTGAAGGTCATGGGTGGCTCACCGTAGAAGGGCACTATCACACAAAGGCAAGGTGTGGAAACACCAGCACGAAAGGCTAGAAAACGTGCATGTCCGTGGAAGAAAGAAGCCTCGATATCCTACTGACTGTTTTATCCTGTTTTCAAAGGTTAACAAAAGCTTCAAAGAGGATTTCAGGCACCGCGTTGTTGCACAAGCACTTTCGGATTTTCGGCATTTACAGTTTTGATTTTTAGGTTTTAGGCAGACATTATTAAGTTTTCGAACCTTTTCTTGTTCTTCAAGTTCAAGCCACAGAAAACACTCGCCCGCTTTTTTTATTTATTTTGGGAGCAATATACCCAATAAGCTTGACAAATAATACAAAAAAGGACATTTTCTTTTTTACAAAGCTGACGAATTTTAATGATACTAAATTGAAACATGTTACGCATGATCCAACAGCCTCCATATAAAAAGAAGAAAAAAAAATCCGTGAGCTTTTCTCCGCATACGCTCAAGGGCCGGTGAGCTTTTCTCCACATCCGCCGGTTTCGCGGTGAGCTTTTCTCCAGTGAGCTTTTCTCCGGTGAGCTTATCTCCGGTGAGCTTTTCTCCGGTGAGCTTTTCTCCGGTGAGCTTTTCTCCGGGATTCCATGTGGGAAGGGGGCCTTGGAAACACTGGGGACGAGTGATGATGGAAGAGGGAACCGAGGAGCGTGTTGGTTTAACGATAACCGACACTGGAAGAATATACCACACATTTGGAACGGACGGCCAATCTTTCGTATGGCGATTATGTGCGTAAGACGAGTCTTTTTGACTTGGCAACGACACAGTATGGACGGACAGATATGCAACAAGCTCCGTGTCATTTACGATTACTCGGGGCAGGAACCAGAGGAACTCTGCAGACTTGAGAAAAAAACTTAATTTGCTTTTCTTTACTAGTAGCTGGTTTTCACATCCTAGAAAGCTGCATGCAAGGGTTTGTATTTTCCCTACAGCTCCCACAGCACGAACAGAAGCACTGGGATCTTGCTACAGAGCACTCAAAGCAACAAGTGTAAGCTCACATGTTTTATGAACAGCTCAGTGGAATAGTCAAATTTTATCGTGCACTTTCCTGGTGCATTTCTGTAAAACAGCATTTCCCAAATAGTGCTCTCTGATCCCAAGCGGGTAGCAACAAATTCAGCAAGAGGGGGGGGGGGGGGGGGGGGGGGGGGGGGGGGGGGGGGTTGCAGTAAAGCGACTCAAGAACACAAAAAAAAAAATTCTGAAATTGGCTTCCCTGCAGTGGCATCAATGAAGACAAAATACAGGCTGCAGCTCTACATCGAGACAGAACTGAGAGTTGCAGAGTCCAAACTCTGCCGTAAGTCAAGTGCATGCATGCTGGCATGCATTTTTTTCCCCTTTTTTGCAATGGCTTCTAGGTAAGCTGAATAGAGTAACTATATTACCTGTCAAATATAACTTTATTGTAAATTTTGTGTATTACTGTCCATGCACTGATATCGAAAAGCATGTAGCATTGCAAAAGGCTGGGGGGGGGGGGGGGGGGGTTCAATGCAATATGCTGGAAATGACTTAATTTTCGCTGAAACCTATTTTTCATGAATTTCGCAAATCGCCTACAATTTGCGAAAAATACGTCCCGCGAACAGTTCGCGCAATTTGTGAACGATACGAAAGCTGCACCTGATTCGCGAAAATTAAAGCCCGCGAATAATTAAAAAGTTTCAGCTTTGGCCAGATTCGCGAAAATTAAGTCGTTTACAGTATTATATTTTTGATGGGTCACAGGCCAGCAGAGTTTGGGAAGCACTGCTGTACGACGTCTGCAGGACTGAAAGCATCTGGCCCTTTTCCCCTTCCACGCCAAGAAGAGTGGTACCATGCACGACTGCTTGTGACAGAACCCCAAGGGGCTGGGGCCATTTATTGCGATAGGGGAACCACAGGCTCTATGTATACACAATCTGCTGCTTCTGTTGACGGGGGCTACTGGCTCTCTTCTTTGGGCTCCTCCATGCAAGGCCGCTTGGCTGCAGCTGAAACAGTGCACACACGCAGATGTCAGATGCCTGGATCCAACTGGTACAACCAAAGATTTCTTAGAAGACAAGGTACAGGGATTTTTTGCCACTCGTGGGAATTAGCACAAACAGATGGTGGACCAACAAAAACAATTATAGTAATGCACTCAAGATCATAACTGGTGTGCTAGCCCCAGCATTTTCTGCATAAAGAGAGTGAATTAATCACTTTTTAAGTAGGCATAATGTTAATGAATGAAGGCCCCCAGTTTCACCGTCACTGTCAATTCTTTGCCTTGTTTAGAGAAGCTTTAGAACTAGAATTTAAGCTGCAAATGTAATTTGACATCTTTGCAACACTACTTGCATGGTTGTGAAGCAATTAAATAGTGTAGTGATGATAGATGTACAGGTACTGCTATAAAGTTACCCATTTTCTAAAACATCTTTTTATCGCACATTCGTAAACTGTCTTGTTTATATTATTGGCTGCCGCCTTCAACTAAGGCTGCTGGAAGTGTTGAGAAATGTAATTTGAAAGAAAGATCCTGGATGGTTAGTATTAACATACGCTGTGCAACACAGTCAATAAAACGCAACACAAACCTTTTTTCACATTTCACTCAGAAAGGTCATCGACGACTATCAAGCTTAACCATGCAAGTCGGAGCTCCGAATGAGCCCTTCCCATCACGCTAGGAGTTCTCGTGACACCCGTTCAACTTCAAGGAGAATACAAGAAGAAACGGCAATTGCTTGTTCGTGCTAACTGTGCCGTGCTCTGCACCTACTCGTCACGATAAAGCCGCGGCCCTTCCTGAATTATCGTATTATCATTATTATCACGCAAAGTCGAAAGAGCACAAGAGAACCAACCAAATGAGTAAAGTTGATACATTTTCTATTACTATCACACTATTGGGCTTGATTTTTCACAAAGCTTTCCGATTCTATATGTTTCAGTTGCATCTACACACAATATATGCTGATAAAAAAAAATTTTTTTAGTGAATTATGGTAAGTATTAATTTATGCTAAACCATCTAAAATAGAAACCAGAAGGTTAGAAAATTTACATGTAACTCCTCACCCCCCACAGTCCCACTTATTCGCAAGTGGGATTCTGCTAAACCCAAAACGTTTTTCGGCAATCCATAGACTTGTAGCACCAACACTCACACAAACTAACAAACTGACCTGGCATGTTCACACAAATGAAACTCGCAACTTAAAAAACAAATTCTAATTTATATAACGAGTACGCAGTGCTCCAACCAAGACGTTCAAGTGACTACACCACATTCAATCGCCGGGAGTTGATGCAAGTCTGAACCGGCGACCCCGAGTAGCCTTCTTTGTCTGCCAAGGAAGGAGAGAGCACGCACCAAAGTTGAAATGGAGGCCAGTATGAGAAAGGCAGATCAGCTCTGCCCTTTCCTGTGTTTTACCCTAGACCTTGTGTCTGAATAAGAGCAAACAAACAAACACCTGGGCCCAAGGCTTGACTAGGGGAGGCGGGGGGTCTTGTGGGGTAGGTGGGGCGCACTGCTGCCTGTACCACGGGCTGGGCCTGCTGCAGGGGCACCTCAGGGCCCCCTCCGTAGCTACCTTGCAGGAAGCGCCACATCGGCTCTGACAGGGAGCCGTAGTCGCTGCCTGAAACCGCGGCAGGAAACGAACCTGTCACGCAGCCGTGCAGTGCGGAACACAGAACTACCATATTTTCCAGACTGTAGTCTACAAACTATACAAGGATTTACTTTTCTAGATTGTTCATTAGGATGAGACACAATGAATTTTGTAAATAACAGTGCATGTTAATGATGACTTATGCATGCCACAAACTTCTTCGTAAGCTGATAAAGCAGGCATTGTGCTGCGTATGAGAATTTTTTAATTACAGGCTATGCACGCAGGTGTGGGCTACATGCACTGGTGCGGACTATACGAGAGAAAACTTTTTATTTTTAACTGAAATTTTCCTTTGTGGTCTATACACCAGGTGTGGACTATAGTCAAGGAAATAAGGTATCTGAGAAGGTGAAAGATGACAGACTCTGTTTCTTTATCCCAATTCTCGTGCTCGTTCGCAAAGTTCAAGCGGCTGTCCTAAAGGCGTTCAAGTGTTTCCACGAATTAAGGATATATTGGATAGAAACAGTGAAATGAGGCATGTAATACCTTGCAAGTCATATTCCCCTCTTGTCTCCTTCAATTGTTGATTCTTTACGGCATTCTTTTCTTGCCTTCGTCAATAAAATTAAACTTTCTAAATAAACCCTTTTGCCTGCCATGTAGCTCAATTTTCCTGCTTTCCGAGGCTTTTTGCCTTCACAAAAGACAATGCTATCATTATTATATATGGATAAATTTTTTCTGTGTGAGCAAAAACATTTCTGTCCAAGCAGAAAACGAAACAAAAATGTGCCATTTTTAATGCTTTATTTTATGGCGGCACTTACACATGGACAAGAAGACACAATTATGGTCTCATTATAGCTGGAGGCCTCCACAACTTGTAAAGCATACACAATTCTTAAGGGGAGACACTGCCCAGAAAAAAAGAATTCTGCAAAAAAAGTTGATTTTGAAAAATGACATATTTACATCCACCAACATCTAGAGAGAGAGTATTCCCAAAAAGTTTAATTAATTTTCACTGCATAGTTAATTTTTTCTAAGTTATTTTCTGTTCACCAAAGCTAAAGAAAAGGTAGGGTTTGGAGCACTTTGAAAGCATTTTTCTCCGTTCCACTTTTTGGTATAAATTCCATTTTAGTCAATCTATCGTTTGATAATGGCAAAAACAGGGAAGGCTCATTCTTCCCTTTTCCTGACTGAAATTTAATAAGGAATGCGGCAATGGAACTTTTTTGTCACTTTACGGATGTCTTTTATAAAAAATGTTGACACTTTGTTGAAGACACAGAAGACCACAAAGCTGACCAATTTTGCAGAAGAGAACACTTATAGAAATAAAGTATTTAAAAAAAAAAAAACGTTCCATAGCTGCACCCTCTACACATTTTGCTACACTTCTAGCAAATAAAAATCTTGAATATCGTGCTAGTTTTCTGACGATAGATTAACCCTTTAACCACCAAGTAATCTTTGAAAAAAATGTACAAACTTTCCCAAATATTTTTATTTGCACATATTTTTTCTTATGTGGTTCTGATTTTGCAATTACATTAATTGATTGGTTCCTGATACGTATTAACAGAAAAATTTTAAAAGAAAATGTTGATTTATAGGGAAGCTTTCCCTCAATGCATGTAAGAGTGAGAATAATACATGCTGAAATGCGCAGTATTTATTTGAAAATGCGCACCATAACAAAAGATCAAGTGCCTAGACGTTTTTCTCCGTAGTAGCGCTAACAAAGTTCCGTAAGTAATGATCCCTTGCAGAATTATTAGCGCAAGGAATGCCATCACCTCTTTGCGGTCCACCGGTTACCATCAAGAACCCCGTGCTGGGAAATGCGGAACCGCATAGCGATTTGTGTCTGTCACAATGAAGTTGGGAAGGTCCCAATAAAAAAATTAAAAAAATCTTGAACCAGCCGAGAATGTCTTTTTCGTCAGTGGGTTGCCGCAGAATCCCGGGCACTGCACAAAACGGAAACCTCGGAGGCGCGGCTGGCGGGTTTTCAGCGTTTACGCATTGTTACACTCGAACAGTACCCAGCGCGTCGTCTAATTCGTCACTGAGGTCATCGTCATGTTCGACTCACTTTCAGAGACAAATTCGATGACTTTATCGTCGCTACTGTTTGAACTGCCCAAAAGAGAGCCCGTTTCCGAGGGCCGTCACCGGCATCACTCAAGCGCGCTGCCATCTCTGATCACTGTTGCAAGGCTAGATACGTACCAAAGGCCAAAACACGCTATATTTGCGCGACCTCTCCTGCCCTCCAGTGTTGAAAATTGAAACTAAAGCCGATGGACGAACCTGTCTCGTGTTTGGCAGTGAAAGCAAACCATCACATTGGCTGGACGAGTGTGACTCGTCATCGGCGATATTGGTACAACCTTCCATGACGAGTACAGCTCGGGTTGAGTGGTTAAAGGGTTAACTAAACAATGTAGGCGTGTCGCTGATAGAAGCTACTCTGATTTCCTTCTCATTTAACCGACAGACCTGAAATTTTGTTATACACCCTCTAGCATGACCACCAGCCTACCCTGTAAATTTCATTGATTTTAAGACAAGGGTTCAAAAGTTGACCCCCCTAAGCGGCGTGTCCCCTTAAGCTCAGAGGTGCACACTCTTCTTGAGTCTGCGACTGCAAAACCTACACGAATGTGCATCCTTCCAGTGCTCTTGCGCTATTGACACTTAGTATCACGGTACAGAAGAAACGGGCAGAGCTATAAACAAGTGTTGGCAAAGACGTCCTCACCCGCACGCAGGGACTGTTGTAGGGTTTGTGCGGTGGATGCAGACTTGGCAGTCACCCCGCAAATGCACCAGTTGTCGATGGGACCTGGGGCGTCTGCAAAAAGGTGGAATAATTCAGCACTTCGTCCGAGCAACCTCGTCTTGTGCGGCCGACTTTCAGAGATTTCAAAAACTTTCAAAACTCATCTCCTGAGTGAGCCACTGTATCTGCAGTGAATACTATCTGGAGTGGCGTCAGTTAAGGGCGTCTACAAATCACTTTTAGGGTCTGCAAAGACTTTGTTCAGCCGATCACGGTTGAGAAAATAGAAACCTCTTAAAAGAGGGTAGCAGAAGTATTTATTCTTCTTGATAACAGGGTGCAGAAATGTTTGCTGCATACTGAGACGTGTAATTGCCGAATTCAAAAGAGAGTCCTATCGAAACTGCCTACCATAGAATACCGTGCATCCGCCCATTCCACATTAAGCGCCCATCCCCAAATTTGTAAGATCTGAGAAAACACGCAGAGTACATTTATATGTAAAATTGATGACCGGACAAGTGCCCATCCCCCGATTTCTTGTGATTATCTTCAAAGTTTGAGTGGGCGCTTGCCCGGTATTTTACGGTAAATGTGGGCACACACCCACGATTGAGGAGCTAACAGAACGAAGGGAAAACATTTTTGTGCAAGTGTAACACGTTGGCAGACGTCCACCCCACACATATAGCAATAAAACAAAAAGCCAGTCTTCCATCGTGTCAATATTTTCTCACGCTCTTGCAATCAGAAGCAAAACCACTCGACCATACACCTGAACCACTCTTCCATAAGTATAAAGTCACGAAAATAAAAGAATATTGCAACTACCAACTTGCTCCAATGATGCAGCATCTTTTAAATTTATAATTCATCAGTTGAAAGAAACTGGTGGAAAAAAAAAAAATGTGCTGAGTCCTGGAGAGTGCCACGTCCTAAAAGAAACTAAAGGCTACAGACGCTTCGGTGCACAGTATACACACTACTGAACTTTTTAGACGAGCAAGGCGCTCGCATTGAGCTTGCAAACACAAAGGCGTTGTCTCTAACTGCATATTATTTCTTGTACATAGCTCGTTAATTCCTGTTGAAATATTTTAAAATTTTTTTCTGCCCACCAAGTTGACAAATGCAGGGGGTGGGGCCCTGTGAAGCTGCATTATTGCAGTTTTTTTTCCCCTGTCCTTGTGCCCCCTTTTGTATTCTGGGTGTAAAAACAAAAAAAAAAAAAAAGACACAAAAGAATAAAAATAGTCCAATTATTATTTTCTAATGTTATTTTACTGTTGTTGTTTGAAGCATTTTATGTAATTTCTGTGAAGTAGATTGCACCATTTCGAGCGAATCGTTCTCCGAATTATCGGTTTGAGCGGATGGTGATACATTTTGTCCTTGAACTGAGCGTGTGTATGTTACGGCCCAAAGCATTCGTCCGACCGACCATGACCTTTGAGGTTCCCGGTGTGAATCTGGAAGGCTATGGTTAGGATTAGAGTTACTCACTTACAGCTTATGCTTTGAGTAGCGACACTCCACTCCCCAGACTGCATCGTGAGCGCCGCCATGTTAGCCAATGGTGTAGAGCGGATGCAATTGGCGATAGTTACCACATTTAAAAAATGAGACCTACTGAGACTAAAGCCGCGGTCACGCTGCTAACAAGTCATACAAAAATTACAAGGCAGCAAATTGATGGTCGAGGTGGATCTGTAAAAACCACAGGAGTGATTATCTATGAATGCGAAAGCATTTAATGTTGCGCAGAGGCAAATTTAGCGGGGAAACTGAATTGGTGCGAAGGTCGCGACATCAATTTAGCGTCGTCCTCTAGGACGACGCTAAATCCTTGTCGTCCTCGAGATCACCCTAGATGTCGTCCTTGAAGTCGTCCTAGACGTCATTCTTAATGTCACCCTCGACGTCATCCTAAACACTGTCTAGAACGACGTCAAAGATGACATCTAGGACAACTTTTAGGATGACCTCAAGGACAACGTTCTAGGGAACGATGTCGAAGACAACGTCTGGGACGACCTCTAGGACGATGCCAAGATCGTCGGGTCCTTCGAAAAGGATGCGAATGTGAAGGAGTGTGTACTACCGCTCCGCATACGTGCGGTGCCATGGAGATCGCGAGCTTCGCGGACATTGCTTCCCCACAGTGCACAGGTGCTCGGTGAGAAGCGCACTCAACGGGGCCAACCTACTGCGATCGACACTTTGGAAAGCATGAATATCCATGGGTGGCAAGCCTTAGTCTTTTGGAGCAGGTCTGGGAACAGCAAAGATGCCCCTTCGGAGCAGCCTTGGAGCAGTAAAATTTCTGTTTTGGAGCAGCTCCAAAGCAACAAAAATCGCGTTTCGCAGCAGTATAAGTAAATCTTGGAGCTGGTTGCTCAGGTCAAACTCGGAGCTATAAGCGCAGATGTGTTTTTCTAAATACAAATACCTTCTAAATACCTTCACGTGACGTTCCAGAACCATTTCCAAACATACCCTTTCCTTAAATATATTCCAGCCCATAGCATAAACAATATTTGAATGGCAGCTATTGAGAACTGTCCTGGTAGCGGGTTGGTTCCCCATGGATTTACAACAGAAGGAACAGTCCACAAAAAAAGCACAACTTAAGCCTCATGAAAACAGAACGTGCCTATTTAACAACCTAAATCATACATTCCATAAGTTGAACACAAAAGCATTTCAAGATGCAGTAGTATGGTATGAAATAAGGTACAATACTGACTACAGTTTTGATTATTAGGAAATACAAATGTTTCAAGTCCTTGTTTAGCAAACAAAAGTATTCCAATACTGAACAGAGTACAAATCTACTCTATCTGATAAAAGTATGAATGCAAAATATTAAAAACTTCATGATACCATCTATACCATCCCTACTCATACATACACGCTTAATTGACCCTTAATAAACCAGGCACGACAAACTAAAAAAGAAAAAAGCTTGTTTTCAAGTTTAATAAAAAAAAAAGTGACTGACAAAACTAGCAAGCAAGACCGTAAAATGAAAGGTTTTCCTCAGACGTCAAGTGCTTGGATGCATTCTAGCCCAACGATTTAGAATTTGCTTCACTCAGCAGGACATTCCCACTGTTCTTTTCGTAGTCCTGCTGGCTTGCTGTTTGTGTGCCAGCGTGCGTAATCACCATATACGTCATTTACAAGAAATTCTACAGATGATTGAGGCAACCAATTATCGCCTTTATATGTTACATTTACGACACGAATGAGGAGCGCAGAAGTGGTTTTAGCAAAAGCACACACCCCAAACATGCAAAGAGAAAAAAAAATATTCTTCTTTAATTTTGTAGACTGGTTACAATTTCCTCAGAGATTAGATGATAGGTGAACACATGCCAGCAGTCTCTTAGGTATGTTTATATACCACAAGGTCCTGAAAGAACGCCCACCCAGTATGAAAAGGTAAATGGTGTGTGTGTGTATGTCTGTGTTGGGGGGGGGGGAGAGGGGCACGGGGCACTACAAGTTACATGAAACGGGAACTCTTCAACTTCAAAGTTTCCAAATTTTTCCCTCACCAGTCGCGGGTTTTAAACATCATGATTAACTATCACCAGGTCACTTGCAAACTCACTGTCTTTTCATTAAGGATACATATCGCAGACATGGCCAACTCGCGTGTGCGATAAGTAAGTGGGAATTTGCTATGAACTTCCTTGTCACGGGTACAGCAGTAGAACGTGGACGTAGCGCATTCGGGCTTCACAGTGCGATATACACGCAAGAACCTAGCTGCTAAAAACTCGGGTGCCACGGGAACTGATATTGCGCACGCAAATCGCAGACAAAAAAAACAAAGTGTATATACATTGCAGATGCAGCAGATTCACGTGTCACGGTGCGATAAGCACAAGGGAACCTGCGGCGAACACACTTGTCACGTACTGATCCCGCAGATCACACGGTAGATGTGATTTAAAAAACGGCATGGGTGATTTCTCGGAGGGGCGGGCATTCATATGAGACTTTACGGCATATGCGATTTAATGTGCATGTGTGTGGTATTTCCATCGGGTATTTCGAATACATGCGGCCATGCTCAATACCACTGTGCAAAAAAAAAAAAGGTAATTGACGAAACAATGTTTTGAGGCATTGTTTTGTCGTTTTTCAGAGTACTTTCAAAGTTTCAGAGTACAAAGCCACTTTATGCATGTCCCATTTTCAGAGATCAGACCTACACGCCGTTGACACGACCACATTGGTATGGTGGTTTCATAACAATAGGTAGGGACTTTTAGCAATCTGTTACTGTGTTCCATGTATCGCACTACCGGAGCTTTTGAAGCATGCTTTTAAATGCGCCTCGCTGTCACAGTATCACCCAGCCGCATGCTTAAAAGCATGCTTCAAAGGTTCCAGTAGTGTGCGGTACTGTCGAGGTCGGTTATAACGAAGTCAACGGGAATCAAAAATCCCTTCGCTATATCTGCTATTTTGTTATAACCGGCTTCGGTTATAACTAACTGCAAAAGGGAAGGGGAAATCGTGATCGCATCTCTCTAGCCGCTATTTCGTTATAACCAGTCTCGGGGGTACGCAGAACACGGTAACAGATAGCTAAAAGTCCTTACAGGTTCAGAATTACCTAAACAAACACGATACGGTAAACTACTGTGGCCAATAAAGAAGAACACACCATTATATAGAGCCTAAAAAATGAAAGCCGTTTACAACTCCCTGTAACGCCGACTTAGAGCGCAGTTCTTGAGGACGAGGAGGGGAAGGTACGGAGAGGGGGCTATGTGCCTCCTCCTCTCCTGCTTGCCCCCCCTTTAGGGGAAACTTTTCCGCTAAATTTGGCGGAAAAAATTCCCTGCTAAATTTAGCGGGGAAATTTTTCCACTAAATTTAGCGGGGAATTTTTTCCGCTAAATTTGGCGGGGAAAATTTTCCGCTAAATTTGGCGGGGAAATTTTCTGCTAAATTTAGCTGGGAGTTTTTTCTGCTAAATTTAGCAGGGAATTTTTTCCGCTAAATTTGGCGGGGAATTTTTTTTGCTAGATTTAGCGGGGAAATTTACCCATCATGAACCGCGCAATTACGCTGACGCCAACGCCGCTCAAGCCGGAAACGGGCACCTAAGAGCTGCGCTCTAAAGGGAAACAACCTTTTCGGCTTGTTTTGGCGCAACATGTGCACTTGGGAGCAGGATAGCGCAGCGAAAGTGGATTGGCACACACTGGCACAATTGGCACAGCGCTTCCACCCTTATATTGCAGTTCACCTCAAAGCGAATATCCAATAGGATATTATTTGAAATTACTATTCGGAAACTCGAATATTCGCACAATGCTATTAAAAAGCATCTCATACTTTAAAGGGAAGCTGAAGAGGTTCTTGAAAAAAAATGAGTTTCAGGTGAATCCTGGAGTATTTCATCCCATGAATTTGAATGTCGCGTTCGTTTTCCCCTAAGATGTAACTAAACACCAGAAAACAAGAAAAACCTTTGACCAGTCGTCATGTCATAAAAGGATCTTTCGGCCACCAAGTGCATGTCACTCCTGTGGGCAGCACATGCAATTGCAAGCTTGCCAGGTATATTCCCCCGCACTGACACCAGTCGTGACGTCTTTTTTTTACATTTTTGAAAATATCAAGAGTGTGCGTGCATAGCTTTGATAGGCACTGAAGATGCATGAGACCAGGGATACCGAAAACTTTTATGACGTAATGCTCCGGGAAGGAGGGGCCTCGGCAGATCTTTGAAAATTGTTTTCTGCAGCTTCCGTGCACAAAATTAAAATATAATCTCGATATTCGTGATACTAAGACGATCTAAGTTTTTTCACTCAAATACAAAACCGTTTCAGCTTTCCTTTAATAAAAATTGAAACTGAAACCCCACAAACCCAAGCCAGCATGTACCTATGTGGGTTGCTTACGCTGTTAGCTTACCTGTCTCTTTGCCCCTCACAAAGGCCTCCCACTGCTTGAACCACGCCATGCTCACGGCATACACCTCTCCAGGGCTCTCCTGGCTTTGCTGGAACTCGCGGTTCAACTGCATTCGAAGACACAGGACTCCCAGTTAAAATGGCAAAACATTAATGCAGGCTGTTAACATGCTTTTAAAACCCCTCAACCTCAAGCCACGTACCACACATAAGAAAAAAAAAAGCAAGGATAATTTTAGAATGGTAGAAAGGGGTGGGCCACTGCCAATTGCAGTATAAGCTAGAAATCTGTAAATCTAAATGAAGATATATAACTTAGACATGTCGTAAGACAAGGCTCCCCAAGATATAAGAAAAAATAAAATCATCCTTTCTATGGGATTGGGTGTTCTCATTACCTGCATAATAAACAAAAGCTAGCTTCTTATTTTCCCTGCCCGCGCAAGAAATGAGAGGCATTTGCAAGGACAGATAATGAGGTTAGCATTCTTTCATCGAACCTGGATCCCTATGGGAGCACGAACTGACAGACTGTGCCAAAAGCTGCCTTTGAGAGGACATATCATAGGAGAACCAAGTCTGCAGCCTTGTGAGGAGTGAAGTTTGGGACATGATGCAACAGGCTTCTCTTCCTTTGTAGTGCTTACAATGCAGTGTTCACTTTTTATCCATGTCAGCCAGAAATGAAACAGAGGGTGTGAAAGCACGCACCGCCACAAAGGTCTCCAGTTCGAGCTTTCTCCTGCTCTCCAGAGCCTCCCGCTCGCTCGTGCACGTGGGGCAGGTGTACAGGTGAGTGCAGGCGGAGCCGCCTCCAAACCTGGAAATGAACCAAATAGAGACCGCCATATACAAAGTTTGATTTAAAAGTTTCCGGAATCACCGCTGGGGGGTTTTTCTTTCCAAAATATTTCTACAGCACTGTATTGGCAACCCTTTCGTATAAAGTGACCACAAATGTCAGATTGATATCTCAAAAAGTCGGGCTTTGACAAGCATTTTAGTTGAGCAACCATGAACATTTTTGATGATGGGTAAAAACAAAATATGAGCAGTCATCAAATTCTTTTATTTAGAGGGAAAAACTGCGACGGAAATCAAATCCAGGTTGAATGCTGTTCTTGGGGAATTATCACCTTCGTTTTCCATTATGAGCTTTTGGTGATAGACAAGCGCCAAAAAATTAGACAGGGACAAGAAGTTGATGTAAACACTGGCACACTCGCAACTAACATTTATCGAAGAAAACTATCTCTTATATCAATGGTTCCCAAATTGGGGTCAGCAAGACCCTCAACAAAAGTTTTTTTTTTTTTTTTTTTAGTTGGCACGTTTTTTGTAGTTTGAAGCGCGAGTGTGCCACGTATTGATGAACTGACCAGAATGATGTGGCACCTTTGTTTTATGTTTTTCTGCTACGTAGCAATAAAAGGCACCTGTTTCATGCTCCAGATGTGTTAACTTACTAACGTCCCCCCTTCCCCCCCCCTCTCGAAGGGGTCCCCTATCACTGCCAGCGGTCCACAAGGGGTCCCCAACACATCCATGGCTGGGAACCACTGTCTTATATAGCTGCTAAAAACGTCAGTCATGACTAGAACCACTGTAGCCCTCTATCAAGAAATTCATATTCTTCAGCCAATAAGGTTATGGATGTGTCACTTGTACACTCGTGCCTTTGGCTTTAATCTCAAACACCTCGAGTAGCTCTCTAGATATTTTATCTGGGTATCTAGCCAAAGATTTGGTGTCATCAAATGACGGGGAGCAAGGGCAGCGGCTGCAGTGCATGGTCAGATGTCCTGATGGGGTTGCTCGTGTTGCGGCATCATGTTGGGGGCGTGATCGTTACAACATCGGCCGTCTGACCAATGTATACAAAACCGCATTACACTGGCATTTCATACACAACTCCCGCCGTGCATTCTGTGAATTTTTTGCGGTGCTGTGATTTACATTTGTCTGCAGCATCTGCGGGAGAGTTGATTTTACGGCACAGTCTCGACACCTTGCTGAATGCTGAAAAAACCGCTGCTACGTCGTACCGTCCAGCCACCTTTTTGAGGTTATAGGCAATGAAGTGCATATACGAAATTACAACTGGCCTTTCTGTGCTTCTATCACAAGGTTGCCTATGTGTCCCTTTAATCTTCTTTACTAGGCTTTCCATCAACTCCACCAAACATTTGGAGGAAAACCAGCCCTCTGCAAATGCACTGCTTTTTTCTTCAAGCCCTCTTGTGCACTGTGCACACAAGACTTCTTCAGAGACGCCTCAAGACATATAGAGGCAACCCCTGATTTCACAACCTTTGACTGGGCAGTGATGAATGAGTTGGTGCCCGCCTTGGAGCGTGGCTCGTACGTCCAGCATATGTGGTCCTTCATGAGGCTCAGCCTGAGATCTAAAAACTGCAACTGCCCCTTTTTGGGTTTTCGTGCATAAATTTCAACCCTTCAACATAAGACTTACATGTACCTAGTATTATTCTGATTTTATCGCTAGCCGCTGTAGCCATCTTGCTAAGAACAAGAAAGTCGTCCACAAATCTGAAGACTTTGAAACTTCCTTGATCTCGCAGTTTCTCAAAGATGTTTCTCCTGCACATACTTAGAAATATATTGCACAGTATGGGCGCCACGTGCGAGCCAACATTTGATCGCGCGTGTCTAGCCAAATTTTTGGCTAGATACCCAGATAAAATATCAAGAAAGCTACACGAGGCGTTTGAGAATAAAGCCAAAGGCACGAGATATACAAGTGACACATCCATAACCTTATCAGAAAAAGAATACGAACTTCTTAATAGAGGGCTACACCGGTTGTAGTCATGACAGACATTTTTCACAGCTATATAAGAGATAGTTTTTTCTATTAAAATGCATGATTACACTAAAGACTGCCTACATGTAGGAAGGCGAAAGCATTATAGTCCCTCGGGAGAAATGTTTCCATGTAATGTCTCTACATGTATTAAAGTTTAGGATGACGCATAGGATGATGTCGAGGACGACTTCCTAGAGATCGTCTAGGACAGTGGTCTCAAGCTCATTTGAGTGTAGGGGCCAGATATCTTGCACCTGAAAGGTCGAGGGCCAACGTAAAACGCGGGGGGGGATAGAGAGAGGGAGGAGAAAAGGGATGGAGGGGGAGGGAGGGAGGGAGGGAGGGAGGGAGGGAGGGAGGGAGGGAGAGAGAGAGAGAGATTGCCATTTGCATCTTTCGATTTGATTTGTTTATAAGACTACTTTCAACCCTTACCTGATGGGATAAGAATTAAACTGAACCCGCCCCGCCTACGTGCTGGCATTTTTAATTGAACAAGTACAGTGTCGGTCCCGCTGCTCAATTCACCCAAGAATTAACCAAGCTCAACATGTCTCTAGAAAAACAATCAGTTAATATGACAGTTGTTTTCCCAACCGAACAAATACTTGTTTTTAATGGTGACATATTTTTGAAGGCGAGAATCGCAAGCTCATAGTTTTATCTTTGGCAGTTGCTCCTGCTGATTGATAGTTCGCAGAGCCGAAAGGCATCCTTCAACGAATAGCTTGCGCTTGCAGCCTAATAGCGGAATGGTTGTACATTACAAAAAGCTGGGAAGCAAGATATAAAGCAAAACAATGGGCAAATGAACACACATAAGTATAAACTCTGTGAAGACGTTAAAAGAGCAGGCCAGCTTTATGAGCGGAAAGTAATCGACGAGATAAGATCACGATGGCGCATGCCATTTCTAACGCTCGAGACATGGGAATCGGCACCCATACCAAGTTGCCTGCGGGCCGCGTCTCAGTGAGTCGAGGGCCGAATGCGGCCCTAGGGCCGCGTGTTTGAGACCCCTGGTCTAGGACGACCTAGAGGACGACGTCAAGTATGACCTGTCAGACGACCTCTAGGACGATGTATAGTACGACCTCTAGGACGACGTCAAGGACGACCTCTAGGACGATATTAAGAACAACATCTCGGATGACGTCGAGAATGACGCCTAGAGAAGGACACTTAAGGAGACTGTAGCGCATTAGCGTGGGCGGCCACATTCGCCTGCAGAAGCCGCAGCAGATGTAGACACTGCTGCCAATGTCGAGGCCGTATATGTAGACACGATCGCCTCATGGTCCATCGCACGAAGTGCAAAACAGCACGGATGAAGCCCGAAGTGCACCTCTTGTACACAATGCTCCGGTGGTGATGTCACGCTGATGACGTATGATGACGCTTGATGACATATTTTTATGGCGATCTTTCAATCACAGCGCCGACGGACGGCACTTGTTTTTCACGTACTGTGACAAGTGAGCTCGTCCTAGAGGTATAGGATTTCTAGAATGACGACAAGGACGAGGGTAGTTCTTGGGTCTCAATCGCATTTTTATGGCCATTTACTCCGATTTGTCACTCAATGTGACAAGGAAGGCTTTCGCCTTAAAATGCTGCGAGTGTGCCAGTGTATGTGAACTTCTTGTCCCAGTCTATTTTTTCGATGCTTGTCTATGATCGTGAACCAACTGGCCCGAATTGCCACATTAACGAGATTTTAGGTTTTGGAATTCAAGGGCGGTTGCACAGACACAAGTGATGAACCATGTTAAGACACAAGTGATGAACCATGTTAAGGAAGTCCAAAAACAGCTACCACACCAGAAATTGTGGATAAAATTCATGACTTGGTTTTGGAAGACCGCCACAGACGAAGATTAAGACTGTCCGTGTGAGGAGCCGCCACCGCGTCGCACTGTACAACAAGCCGCGGAGGCTTTTGTTGTGCTCGAAGAATTTTGCTACAGCACCTCTGACAGTGCGAGTACGGTGGAGCACTTGACTGCGCTAAGAAAAGTTGTCGTCTTCGTTCAAATGTCATCCAGAAAGCAGGCGGCAAGAACAGATTTTTTCTCAAAATAGAGGTATGTTACAGGAAAGCCGCTTCGTGTAGTTTTCTTTGGCCATTCAATATTTCGACTTTCGGATAATTCAGACATTTTTTCCGGTCCCATGAGATCCAAATGAACAGGGTTTTACAATAGCATATTTTATAAATATCTAGGGTCTGAACTATGCAAATATTAAAAGTTTGTAATGTCACTTAAAAATAAAATAGCATTTAATATTCTTTGAGATGAACTAATATTCACACTTTTCGAAGAGTTTGCAAGGTCAAAGGCATGACGGGGTGAATTAGCTCTTTCTGAGTGGGTTTCTCGCTGAGCACCTATGCACTGTAAAGGAGCGTTACCTGCGGAGTGATGACAGGTTAAGAGTAAAGTGGAAGCTCCGCCCACCCCTTTCGTCTTTAGCAGAGCAGATGGAGGAGGAGACCTCCTCTCTAGGATTTTGCTCTGCTAAAGTGAAAAAAGGTGGGAGGGGCTTCCACTTTACTCTTAACCTGTCATCGACTCTAGAAAAAAAAGAAAAAAAGAAGCACAGTTCCTAAGTAAAATATTAAATATTTGAGTAGAAATGGAATTAAAAAACAAAACTGTAACTTGGTGGCTGTTGATGTTTACCTTGCAGTAAAACTTCCAAAACAAAACCGTGACAGCTATGCAATAACAGCATATGTTGCACAGCAATTCAGACCTTCCTTTTTCTCTTTTCATTTCAAACTGGTCATGCATGTTGTTTTCAAGCTCGAGTTGAAAGACACATATTTGGGTATAGCGTGACTTATAAATCCCCTCAATTAGGAATAGCTGGGCATCACTCTAGGTTAACTATTATGAAAAAGCCATTGTTTACTTGTCATCCCTATGTAAGCCTTAAAAAGTCTGAAGTCACAGTCAATAAATAAATAGATTAATATCAACTGATCCTAGCAGTAAACAAAGGAAAGCATGGAAACAACCTAAACAAGCTAGCTGCATTTTCATTTAAGCTTAGTGCAACAGTAGTGGAAGGTTCGAAGACAGGCTAATCATCTATTTGATCCACAAATATCCGGGAGAAAATAACTCAAACACCTATTCAGTTCAAACTTAAATTCCACTATTCGCACATGCCTACTAAATGGCAAAGACATGGACGCATGTAGCCGTTGCCTCCCTCTGCTCGGACTCACGAGTCATGGAGGTACTCCCAGACCGACTGCGATAGCTGCATGCATAAGTCTTCGGCAAAGGAGGCCTTGGCCGGTTGCACACCTGCACAGAAACATGCGATAGTGACGAGTCATCCTCGCGAAGGACCCGAGCGACACCACTACTGTCAAGGCTAATGATGATATAGTAAAAACAAATTAGTAACTGACATAACGAACAGCAGCAATGGTAACAGAAAAGCAACTCGGTGCATTGGGTTGTGCAGTTACAAGAATTTTGAAGTTTGGTTCAAGTCATTTCACCAGCATTTCTAAACAAACTCCTCGAGGGGCCCCATGTAAAAAGCTCTGAGGTGTGTTTAAAAGTACAGTATCAGTAACTATTTGATTGCAATAAAGCACGAAGGACGCCTCAGTTCAAGCACAAGAATATGCGATAGGGCCAACAAACTACACCTGACAAACTCCACTAATGAAAGCTTGGTGAAGACAACATTTGTCAAAAAAAAAAGAAAGAAAGATTGTACTACTTCTATATGTCTTATCAAGATATCCTACAACAGAAAAAAAACAAAAAATGATGCTGCCAAAAAAAAAAAAAAAAAGCCTAGGCAATTTTTGGCATCCCTCACCTCCGTGCACACAGAGGAAGTCCCCGTTGTCGATGGGGCCAGGATCGGCGAAGGTATTGAACCGATTCACCCACTGCTTCGAGATGTAGAAGCTCAGCAGTCCCGGCTGTGAGGAGACAGGCACCCGAGGAATCACCACACTCGCTGGTCACTTGTCTCTCAGACACACTCTCTACCCCCAAAAGAGTTTTTCATCCTTTCGGGGTGGCAAAAAGGAATCATGTCACTCCACGTGTGATGCAAGGTGTAAAATCAACTAGACCACTGATTGTCTTCACTGTCAAGTTCATTCACGCTTCTCCCTCTTTATTTCTTTACTTCCGTCCAGTATATAGCAGAACAAAGAATACTCACCTCATTGCGGCTGCGCTCCATGAGCTCGAAGGTGCGGTTCCTGCGGTTCACCATCTCCTCCGAGGACTTCCTGTAAGACGAGCGTGGGTGCCACACAGGTAAGATGTCAGCAAGGATTGTGTCACCAAGGATGGTGTCCCAAAGGATGGTGTCAGTGAAGGGCTTGCGACCGAACAAAGACCGACACAGGGGAACCCCAAATTTGGAAAAATAGCTTTGCCAACACAAGTAGGTGTTCCCAGATGAAGCACAGTCGAAGTGATTCGGCGACACACGAGCGCAAACAACGAAAGGCACCGAGGTGTGGTCTCACCGATAGAAGAGCACGTAGGCCTCGCAGTTCTGCACCACCTGCGGTTCCACCGAGGTGACGTACTGGTCGTCAAACTCGTACCACTGGTCGTTCAGGTGGTTCAAGGCATACGTCGTGTAGTGCCCCGCTGAAACAGCGATTTCGTTAGCTCGGACGCTCTTACGATATGTCCTTCCTGGAACAAGACTCACAGCCGGCAGTGCCGTGGTGACAGATGACGGCCATCAGGTCGTAGATTGTGCTCGTCCGGGGGCATTCTGAAACGAGTTCCAAGACGTAAGGGTCTCGTGGCAAGAGCGGGACACCTAACGAACATGTCGGCGATCTCGCCGAACTAGCAATCTTTTATCTGGTACCGTTTTTTTTTGTCCAAAGGTTTGACAGCGTATCTTTTGATACTAAGGCCAGCCTTTTATGGCTTCCAATACATAGCGAATACGGTGATAGAACACCCGGAGACATAACCGTGGGAAGTCCAACAACACACATATTTTCCCCAATTCTTCGATATGCTGTTCTTCAGGGCAGGTACCCGTATTAGCATGATTCTGTTCATGACGCAGCCTCTGCACTTTAGTGCACACTCCTCAGCAGCGACTTAGGAAACCCAAGAGATAGACTATTAGGCACAATTCTTCCAGTTAAGGCACGTTCAGACATACACCACAGTGCTACCTCAGCACTATCAGTCAGCACTGGAAATAGCACTGACCTTACTGATGCACCATATTAGTAATGCAGTGATGATACAGCGCTGCTTAGAATTAAGTTACTTTCAAGTCAGTGCTGCATCAGCACTGTTTCATCATTAATTTAGTGCTGCAATGTGTGTGAACCAGCCTTTAAAGGGATGGTGAACCGCAATTTGGATTTCAAAAAACCAACGCTGGAGATGTAGGCGGGACGATACAATCCCTACAACACTAATATGCGATATCTCAAATGGACGGCCGTATTTTTGGAAAAAGAAGTCGAGATTGAACCAGGCCGACGAGGCGCGTGACGTCAAGATACCTAGTTTTCTCCTCTCTTCGCTTTGCGCCCTCAAGGCCGCGAGGCAAAGAAGACGCGAGGCCGTTCCCTCTCCTTCTCGGAGAAACATGACGTCAACATTCCTGCCAAATGCACCTCTTTTTTTAAAAAAAAAACAGTCATCCGTTCGAGATATCGCTGTATGAGTGATGTTTTGGTGTTTGTAGGATCCCATTGCACGCTTTTGCCGCGTGTTTTGGGGTATCCAGATTTCGGTTCAGCAATCCCTTTAATGGATGTCCCGCCTATCAGAAAACAAGAAAATATCTTTGACGACATGGGATTTATCTAAAACGATCCACTCGTGGGACTTCCTTTTGAGCAGGTTGTAAAGCAACAAGTATCAATTTGTCCCTTTCTTACATTGTCTTTTGGGGAGTTTTGCAATGCCCTACGTGCTGTCTACCCACCTCGATGAAGAAACGGGGACATGTCCAATCCATCCAGGGGGAAGGAGACGTAACTGCCGATCTTAGAAGAAAACATGACCTCGTGCCGAAATCGCTTCAGGTGGATGCACAGCACCTGAAGAATTGGGGAAGCAGGCTCAATCCTTCCATCACACACCACACGACCAATCCAAACTCCTCTAAACAAAAAAAATTGCAAAAGTCCACACAAAGTATGCTGCAATTGACAGTGATGGCCGCTGTGTTGTGGAAAGGCACGTTGAAAAAGATTTGCCTTCAGCGAGTGTGCTGCAAAATGTTTGCAAGGGATTATTTGCTTTCAGTGGAAGTGATGTAAGACACATGTGTGTGAGGAAATGTGTGCTTTGGTGGAACGATTGTGCGAGATGCTTTAAAAAAGACAGAGACATGCTTTTCTTTTTCAGCTGAAACGTTTTTCCAGACCAGGGGCGTCTGTGACTGCACCAGCGGTGAAAGAAGTGAAAGTATGTATGCAAACTGTTCTACAAAGGCGCAAAGAAATACGAGAACGGAACCTGGGCGGCGGCATTGGGGAGGCGAGGGGGCATGTCCACACAGCGCAACAACGTGGGTATTTCGCAACAGCGGCTGCCAGAAGGGTGGGGGGAGAAGGAAAGGGAAATGTTGCCAGAGAAAGAACAGCGGCGGCCAACAAGGGGAAAGGAGGGGGGAGCGAGAGAGAGCCTCACTGTGTGTAAGTAACGACGAGGGGAGGGAGAGCAGTGCCTCTGCTGTAGAGTGGGGTTTTGCATCTGTTCATGAACATTTGTTGCCGGGAAGGGACACCAACAACTACTGTTGTAAAACAAACCCTAACCCCTTCCCCTCGTCAAGTATGTTCAAGTAAAGACCTCCAGGAGAACTGGGGCATGCTCAAGCTCTAAGTTGAGGAGAGTGCCTCGATTGCGCGCACGTGCGGGTGAAGGATATATGCTTCAGTCAGTGTGACCTCCGCAACACTAACCTCTGGGAGCTGAAGCACCCGTGAGAACTTAATGCCGTTGCGCAGCTTGCGGCACTTCTCACAGCTGTACATGTTGTCCCCCTTGAGTTCGTCGGCCGAGAAAAAGGCCGCCAGGCAGTCCTGCAGCCCCACCCCTGGGCCCCACAGCCACCTGGAAGGGGGCACACAGAGCAAACTACGCTCAAACCCTTTTATTTCATATCTGCATCAGTATCCACCTATTCCTGAAAAAACATACTATGAACCTCCTGAAAACTGCTAACCGATTTAATATTCTGTTGGGAATTTGCAGAGGTACTGGAAAGCTAAGGGTGTAATACAAAAAGACAGTGGTAAAAGCTGCACCATGGTTTTTCAATGGCTTACCAACTGATTGAAAGATCTCACTTGGAAACAGCCTGGTTAACAACAAAAAGTCTCCCATTTCTACCATCAGGCATCCCCCAGGAAATTGTATTTGGCCCTCTTCTATTCCTGATCTACATTAATGATCTCCACCATAAAATAGCTTCTTTTGTGCACCTGTTTGCCAATGATTGTGTCATATATCAAACCATTCTTGCATACCAAGATCATCTGATTCTCCAGGAAGACCTGGCGTCTGTAATTCAGTGGTGCGAAAAAAAGGCAAATGACGCTAAACTTTAATAAATGTAAATTCCTGTCATTTTCCCGCAGTTCATGTGCCACACCATTTTCGCATTAGTACCTTGCTAATACTCAAGGAACAGTGTGCTCATCTTATAAATAACTGGGTGCTTATCTCACCTCTGACCTATTACGGGCTACTCGCATAACCTCTGTTATTGCTCAAACTAACCAAACTCTCGGATATTTGCACCGTAACCTCAAACTTGCGACACCCTCCGTAAAACGACTAGCGTACACTACTTTCATAAGATCCAAGTTAAAATGAGCCTCATCTATATGATTTACATGGCAGTCATGCCTTACAAATCATGTCAATCCATTTAAAACAGAGCCCTTCGTTTTATTTATAACTACTCAACATATACCTGAATATCAGGATTACGCCAATCGGCTAACTTTCATTCACTTTCCCTTTGCCGCCAAGTGTCACACCCTTCTCTCCTTCGTCAAATTTTCATCACAATACCTATGTGAGAGAATCATTACTATTGCCTCCCCATTGCATTTTTTCTCGTTTAGATCACCCGTGTAAATTACGTCCCATTTGATTGTCAACTGTTTCTTGCCAAACTTCCACACTACCATTGGCTTTGAGAATTGAAACTCACTACCTCACAACATTGTTTCTATAAATGATACTCTTGAATTTGTTGAATCCATTACCCTCTTTCTATCTAACCTAGCTAAGTAGCTTACAGGTCCCCCAAGGAAAATAAACGACGATAATGATGATTTGCAAGCGAGGGCTCGATAATATGTAATGTAATACACAAGATACTAAAATTATCACCACTATTATTATTACACCAGAGGAACGTGACAATGTACGCAAAAAAGTGAGGGTCACATCAACATATTGTAAAACGCTGAACATCTCCCCGTTTCACAATAAGCGCCCCTCTTAGTTTTGTAACATTTGGAAAATACACAAAAGACATATTTTTACATATTGTTGATCTAAGAAGCACCCATCCCCCAGTTTTACCTCACCATCTCCAGATAAGGGGGTGCTTGTTCGGGGTTTTATGGTAGTCTAGCAATGCGTGTGGCACGAAGCATAGCCGGGATAGGTTACAGGAGCTGATTAAGATCTGTGGAGAGGAAGGAAACTCTCTGGGCCTGAAATTCAGTGGCGACAAGTCGGGAATAATGGTTTATAACGATTAGAAGGGGAACTCACTGAAAATTCAAGACATTTTAATAGAACACGTAGAGAAGTATATACATCTAGGACTAATGCTGATTGAGGGAAAACAATACTCTTAGGAACAGAGAGAAAATACCGTATGCTAATTTTGATTTTATAAGTCATGAATAGGGTTTGTGTTTTCAGATAAATCCGAAAAACTCTGAAAAACACTCGCCGGTAAAATTTTGGTCAATTTGGATTTATCCGATAAATTCAGAATTTTGATGTGCCAATGCCGCCCCTCCCCCTTCCCTTCCCTTCCCTCCCTCCCCCCCTCCCCTCCCCTCCCCTCCCCTCCCCCTCCCCTCCCCTCCCCCCCCCCCCCCCCCCAAAAAAAAAAAGAAATAAAAAAATAATAAGGATGGTATTTTCGAATTAAGTTTGATCAGCACACAGCGTCAATGGCCCTGGGAAAATGCCCCCATAGTTATTTTCAAATCTCGGATCATTGACAAAAGGGGTCTTATCATTTATCTCGTCAAGGTTCAGGACAACATGTCATTGTACATTCGGGCCATGAAAAAAGCCCCTCTGTATTGGCTTCCAGTTTGGTCCATACTATTTGTGTTTTAAGAGGAAGGAGAAGTTGTGTTTTTTGTACCAGTGAAAGCTATGGACCATAGAGATTGCATGAAATTGGGAAGAGGGGCAATTAAACTTCCCTATAACATCCTTTACCACTCCACCTCGTGCGGCCGCGGGGTAGCATGGAATAGGATGGGATGAATACGTGCTTCCCAGCAACTACCTCGAGGAGTTTGTTTTTAAGGCATCGACGTTTATCGAAGCCACACATGTGTGCAACATTTGCCTTGGGACAAATTAGTATTGCCAATGGAATTGGCACCAACACCAAATCCAGCTAAAGCAATATTAATTGATATAAGCATGTTTTATTTTTCTTTAACTGGCATAAGTTTACACCCGGTATTATTTATTTTTCACAGGAAACACTGCAAAATTAAGCTCCGAACTTCGGATATTTCAGAATCAAACAAAAATAAAGTTCTATAAACTGCAAATTTTCGGGAAAAAATAAACTTCAAAATTTACCCCTCCGATTTTGGCGAAAAGTGAACTCCGAAAACACGGAATCCTAGTCATGAACCCAATCGCCCGCTTACCAGTTTAGGTCACTTTAGAAAAAGGAATGCAGCAATTATGAGGCATAGGGCACTATGGAATTAAAATATATATGGGGAATATGAAAAGGAATCATGGTGCCAGGGATGTCTTTTTGCTATGCGGTATTGTGCATGGAAACTGAGGTCCAGTTAAGCTTAGAGACCCGGCAGAGGAGCGTGGGCAGACTGGCGCGGGTGTACATGGGAATACACCAAATGAAGGAGTGCAGGGAGACATGGGCTGGGCATCTTTCAAGATTAGAGAGGCAATCGGTAAGTTAAAATTTGAACAAAGACTAGACGCAAGGGAGGATACACGATGGGCGAGAAAGGTTTATAAGCATCTATATATAAAATGTCTGAAAACTAAATGGTCAAACCAACCTGAAAACTGAAATTTAAATACCAACAGTCAAGAGCTGGGGTAGCGCAGACTACCTTTGTGGAAAAGGAAGTAAAAGAAGCCAAGAGAAAACTGTGGGCGGAAAGAATGCATGGAAAATCAGCTTTAACTATGTATAGCGAACGAAAACAGGAAATAAGGAAGGAAGTTGCTATGAAATTCGTTGTTATTTGAGGCTAGAACAGGAGTATTGAGGACTAGGACATATAGGAAAAGTACAAAAAAAAAAGAAATGAAAGCCGTTTACAACTCCCTGTAACGCCGAATTAGAGCGCAGCTCTTGAGGAGGAGCAGCCAAGGCCACAAAGGTCACGTGACCCCCCCCCCCCCCCCCCCAAGGTCACGTGACCTTGGTGGGGTCATGTGACCCCTTCCCAAAATCCCGTGTGGGTCACGTGACCTCGCGGGGGGGGGGGGAATCACGTGACCTGGGGGTGTCACATGATGTCGGGGTCACATGACCCCCCAGGTCACGTGACCCCCAGAGAAATTGTTCCGCTAGATTTAGCGGGGAAATTTTTCCGCTAAGTTTAGCGGGGGAAATTTTTTCGCTAGATTTAGCGGGGAAATTTTTCCGCTAGATTTAGCAGGGAAATTTTCCCGCTAGATTTAGCAGGGAAATTTTCCCGCTAGATTTAGCGAGGAAGTTTTCCAGCTAGATTTAGCGGGTAATTTTTTCCGCTAGATTTAGCGGGAAAATTTTCCCACAAGATTTAGCGGGAAATTTTTTCCGCTAGATTTAATGGGGAAATTTTCTCGCTAGATTTAGCGGGCAATTTTTTTCCGCTAGATTTAGCGGGGAGATTTTTCCGCTAAATTTAGCGGGGAAATTTTTCCGCTAAATTTAGCGGGGAAATTGTTCCACTAGATTTAGCGGAGAAATTTACCCATAATGCACCGCGCAATTACGCCGACGGCGACGCCGCTCAAGCCAGAAACGGGCGCCTAAGAGCTGCGCTCTAAAAATATGCAGCGTGCCGTATGTCAAGAACAAGACGAGACGATAGAACATGTGGTGTTGAGTTGCACAAGGTTTGCTCCCGCTCTCCCGGGGAGTGTGACGGATTTAGCTAAAGCACTGGGGTTTGCAGACGAAAATTAAAGAATAGATGATAAGTGCACTTTAATAACAAAGAGGACATTGGAAGACTGGGAATTATCTCGGGAGAATTGAATAACATACAAATAACTGTCACAGATGAGGACGGGACAGAGGAAAATTGGGATCCCCTCCCACGTGGCTCCAGCCCAAAATCTCAACCCTGTCTCCCAGTGGGCCCGGTGTTGGGGTAACGCCAACTAGGTATGACCAGAGAAAAACTGGCAACTCCCTCCCCAGGGGGAGGAAGCGGGGTGATGTTTTCAGTTTTTTGCCCGATCCCCCAAAGGTCATCCTGGTGACATCTCACACTGCCTCACAGTAGTTACAAAATTGCATTAGGAAACTGGCTTAGAAAGGCGAGGGGAGAATCATACTTTTGGTCTCTAGGCTTGGTGGCACAAGCCAGCACCCGTTATAAAGGGTACAGCCATCAGCATCCATTCATCCTTCCATTCATTCATCCGGTATTCATGTCACTGTAGCCCAGCAGAGCAATTTGTATAATAAGTACCACCAAATGAGGATGAAAATCTGTGCTGGAAGTACCTTTTGAGGCAATATAGCTTGATCAACGGAGACAATTAAATTAAAGGTCTCGGGAGGACAAACAAGTTGAATGCCCTCTCAGTCTATCTTATCAATCGATAGAGTATACCTTGCTGCATGCACTGTTTCAACAGAAAGCAAAAGGGTTTGCATAAGCAAGACATAAGGCCGGGTGGTGTCATCAATATAATAAAGCTACAAGCATTGATGGATTCAAAATTCGTCGAGGATAGTTACAATCACCTATGGGTTACAGAGTTACCAATGGCAATACTATGGCCATGGACAGGTTAAGAGTTACCAAAGTTATGCTGCAATCATCGGCTGTTGCACACCACTATACTATTCCATTCACCCTTCAGCTGAGATTGAAGCCAAAGCCACAAACATAAGCTATCCCACGCTTCCGGCTTTGAGATGTGCCTTTCTAGCGCGAGCTATCGTCCTGTGGACAAATGTTTGAATGCAGACTCCTCCTCAGGACGAACGGAGTGGAGCAAGAGACCACGTCCGGTAGCAAGTAGCCCCCTCACCCGAAAACCCAAGAGAACATGCGCGTGAGCAGCCAGGAGAGCCAGCTCTGGGAGGCGGTCGGGTCCATGGGGGGACCCCTGCTAGTCCCGTGGGGGCTGCTCCCCCCCTGGCCGCCAGCCGCCGCAGCCGCATGCAGCACTGCCAGGTGGTCCCTGCCTGGGATGGGCAGGGACAGGTCCTGGAACGTCTCTCGCGTCGTTGACACCTGCCGGAAGAAGTGGGCGTGAGGCACGAAAAGATTAACGAACGAGGACACTGACGGGAGCACGTCAGAGGGTTCTTCTTTAGAAGGAAATGACAATGATGCTGGGTTGAAAGATTAGCAACATGTATCCAGGAAATAATTAATTAATTTGAAGGACACAGTAAAGACAACTGCAAATATTTCCCGAAATGGGTGTTTCGTCGATGACAAGGCTTCAGAATCCCGCTTGGTTAATGCAGAACTTTCTGTCCCTTGCTTTCAGCGAAACAGAGTGTGCAGAAATGAATATTCTCGCCTCCTGATCGCTGGAAAAAAGAGCATGCTACACGTTTAGTGACATCGATGCTGGTCTTCTTGCAGTGGTATGGCCACGCAGTGGAGGTGCCTTCCCTAGGAAACAAAGTTGTGGCCACAGCCACTGGAGATCTGAATAAAGAGTATCCACAATAAGAGGAGTCGGGCGGATAGAAGGCAGGGACGGGGTTGGACCTCGACATACAAATGCGCCAACAGTTCAGACATCTTCATTGAGCACTATTTTCTGCTAGATTCGCTCCAAGCGGTTATCAATGAACTGACATCTATTAACCACTTCCAGTTTCGTAGGCAGTACCTGACCAACTTCTGAAAAGAATATTCTTTTCGTTGTGGCCGGCAGGATTCCAGAGTTGACACAAAACACATAACTAACTAAAGAGAAGAAACATGCCGATAGAAAGTGCACTGGGAGGATGCTGCTTTATTTTCATTTCCCCCTATTTTTCGCTTTTTCAGTGGTCTTGATTAGGTGCCCAGCAGCATAACGAGTCAGTGGTGTAGACAGACATCAAAACAGGCATGCGGGGATGAGACAATGGCAGAGGCGACGACTTGAGCTCCCAATTCGTCCCTGCAGTTTAGTTCTGTTTTAATAGATAAAAAAAGGAGGGAGATATTCATATTTTTACAGCGTAAGGTCAGTCTGCCTTTGAGGTGTGGCGACACTGGTTTACATTGCAGATGAGAAATATAGCCAGTGCAGTACCACCGCTGGTCCGGGTTCCCTAACGTGTGCCACGCAGTAGCGATACATGACTGCACTTTGGTACAATGCTCATCCAGACCGAAATGCGCAGGGATGAAGATTGTAAATATATCAGCTTGAACTTTAGAAATAACTCGAACACAAAGACAGAAAGGACAGGATATGACACACAGCTGACTACCAATGATATTTTAGCGTAAACTTCTTCCTTGCGCTTTTGCTCCTTCCTTTTAAGTCCCAAGTGGAGCGCGATAAACCTATTTTATAAATTGCCCTATTCCACTATTAAAGATCACTTCCGATATTTACACTTATACAAAAAAATATATACAAATCATTTGCACAGTATTCCTAGCAAATTATTGTTTTTGAACTAACCCGCCACATGCTCGTGCTGTTGTTGTTTGGGGCGTGACATTCCGTAGGTATTGTTTTTCTTTTTTGTTTATGGTGATTGATGGCGTGCTGACACAATCCTTGGCGTGCTCCTCGATGGCGAGCGCCTCGAGCATTTCGCGTGCATGAGGATTGTTGTTTATTGCAAGAATGGTGGTACTGTTCAAAGCTACACTGCACTAGCATGTCCTCCAATGAGCTGCCAGATGTCCGGCCGCTGTTCCCTTTAGAGACGCTGCATGCTCACGGGCTCTGTCGTTGATACATCGGCCTGTTTGGCCGATGTAGCATTTCCCGCAAGACAGGGGAATGTGGTACACCACTCCTGTTGTGCATGGGAAGTACTGCGTTCTGTGGGCCGTGTTGCAGGATGTTTTCTTTCTTTCTCGGTTCACTTCACTGCACATATAGTATGCTTTGTTGGGCGCGGAGCATACTACTTGTACGTCATTTCTTGCTGCAATCTTTTTCAATTTGTGGGTAATTTCATGAATGTACGGTAGCACCACAATCTTCCGTCGAGTTTTGCCTGCATCTCCGCTCTCCTGCCTTGTATGCTTCAATTTTTTGCAGATGTTCTCACAGACTGGCACCATAAGACTAGTTGGATATCCCGAATCTCGTAGGCGGCACATCTGTTTTTCAAAACTTTGTTCTATTTGATGCTCACACGATTTGTGTAGGGCAGAGATTAGAGCCGTGCTAGCGACACTCCTCTTGATGGTTCTTGAGTGCCCAGATGTGAACGGCAGAAATCCTTTCGCTGACCGGGGTTCGTACCTCCAGCACACGTGTCCTTGATCGAAAGTCAGATTGAGATCTAGAAATTTTATATTTTTCTCGACAGGTGCTTCATAGGGGAAAACTAAGTCGAGGCAGCTTTCTTTGAAGCATCTAAGAACTGTGTCTCTGGATCCGTTTATCTGGTTGTCGACCTCCGTGGCACTTAGTATTAAGAAGTCGTCCACGTAACGGAAAATCGCCTGGACGCTTGTATGCTTCAAGTTGTTTTCGATGATCTTGCCGCGTGCCGCCAGGTACATACTAGTGTTGTGCGAATATTCAAATTTCCGAATAGTAGTTTCGAATATTACGCTCTTCGATATTCAATTCGAAAGCAGTTGTAATATTCGTGCTTTTCGAAGTGTTGGCAACCTCGAGTCGCGTGTTTGTTTACTGTCTAAAAATACGTAAGAAACAGTTTCTAAGATCAAAAATATACTCACACGTTCGGCAAAACGGTACAAATATTATGGTGGAAACTCTCAAATATATTCCTTGTAGTCATTTCATCAACTTTGTTTAAAAACGGGCAAAAAAAAAACGACCTATGAGCTCCAGCAAAGCAAGTCTTTGCCAATTTTGGTGCCCTGTATTCCAATAAATAACTCATACACAAATTAATTAAGGTCTCAATCTCACAAATCAGGCCACTTAATAATTGCACGTCTGCAATGATTATCTTGCATGCAACTTTGCAGCCAAGATTTTTGAACAGCAAGTATTCGATTCGAAAATATTCGGCCAAAATCACTATTCGCTTCGAATTCGATTCGAAATCAAAATCCACTATTCGCACAACCCAAGTACATACCACATAGCTGCGGCGCCACTCAAGATCCAGTGCATACTCCATTTTTTGCACCATTGGTTGGTCTTGATATACCACCACAGTCGCGTTTAGATATACACCTAATAGTTCTTAAAAGGTGTCTACATTTATTCCTGCGGCGTTCTGAAAAGCTGTGGTGCTTGCTTCTCAATGGAAGAGCGGAGAATTGGAATTGCCATAAGGTTTGTGTGCGGAATCGAATAGTACATGTCTTGAATATCTATTGAAAATCCAGATGTGACACTGGCTCCATTTTCTTGAAGATATGCAATTAATTGTTCCGAATTCTTGATTTTGTATGGATCATCCGATTGTATCAAGGATAGGCGATGGGATAGGAACGTCGACAGATGGATTTGCCAGGTTTCTTTTTCCGACACAATGGAATCCGACACAACCCAGGAATCCTGGAGATCCCAGGGTTCCTGGGATCTCTAGCACAAGCTTTTGTTCCACGTGTCCTGAGCCGTGGCGTGCCACTGCACGTGGCCACCGATCCGCCTTTTTAATTGAAATGAAAGTTTGCTACAGTGAGCGTACCTTAGATGGGCAAAGGGGTGAACAGCCAGACAAGCCCGTGGCAACGAGAAAGTTAAACGAACGCAATCAAGCAACCGACGGGGCTGCTCGTCACGGGAGGCTGAGAAACGCGCACCCACCGTGTCGCAGGTGAGGCACTGCACAGAGCTGAGGATGCGGCCGTCAAAGACGTCCGAGACGACGCTGCGCAGCCGGTGAGAGGCCCCCCGGCGCCCCCTGCGAGCCCGGGGAGCCACCGCCGCCGGACTCTGCTTGGCCCCGCTGCTGTGGTCGTGGGGCTCCTGGGGCCAGTCCCCGCCCGCCTTCTCCTCGACGGGCGCCAACCGGCCCAGACCCTCCTGGTCGCACAAACAACAGGCGAGCCTCACTCACTAACATGGCCACTGAGCTTGTCTGCAAAGCCTCTCTAACTTTAGCGGTTACATTTATGCATGTGACACTGGTGTAGCCAGAAAGAGGCTTATGGAGCTTCAGACACCACCCCCCTTCCCCCTAAGAAAAAACAACAAACTACCTACCGTAATATCCCAAGAGATGCCCCACCTCTGAAAGATAGCCCACCCCTATTCTTGGCATGATTTGCTCTTTTTCTAAAAACATCAAAAGATAGCCCACTTCTAGTAATTGCAGGGCCTTGTCTAATAGTGACCTCAGCAGAAATGATGTTACTTAGCCACAGCGGGAGATATGCGAACATCGCTGACTGGGAAGGACAGTCGTCTTTGGTTCATCGTCCCTCCCTGCGAGCACAAGTTTTGCAGGTCACAAAATTTAAAACTATACTTTTTCCAACTTTTATTATTGCACACCAAAAGTTAGCTTACCCCTTATTTTTGCTAGATTTGCTTTCAATTTTAGGTAGGCTACCGCTTGGGATATTACGGTATGCACATGCATGGTGTAACACTCCCGCCCCCCCCCCCCCCCCCCCCACCCCCTTCTTCACTGCCACTGACACATGAGAACAATGGTGTCCATCACTAGTCACAAGTACAAAGAAATATCCAACACCTTTAGAAAGCACCAGAATGGCCGACACTCTGGGCTATACTTTTGGGTATCCTCTTCTAGACAGTGCTACTTTTCTGCCTCGTTTTGCTGGAACACCAAAGCTTACTGTGTTTCCAGTGGTGAACAGAAAGAGGAAACACCTCGGGGACAAGTTTAACATGCTAGAAATCTGATAACCTGGTTGACTCTGGGATAAAGGTTGCCCACTATGCTTGTCCCTTTAGCACAGTGTGAAAGGCTCACCAAACAGTGCCACCAGACTACATGACAGGGCTCAAATCAAGACATGACACCAAGCTACCAAGGCACGCAAGTGAATCAACATTCGTTTGTTAAAGGGGCGGTGCAACAATTTGCGGACTTTGGCTAATTAATTGCGGGAATTGATCCCGGCCACATATAAAACGAAGGACCGAAAACTATTCTTTACTGCTTGCCTTAGTTTTCATTTAAAAAAATAAAAGAAATTGGTATCTCTGGCACCCCTCAACTCAACATTGAAGCGGCACCAGCTTCGCCTGTGACGTCATTCGGAGTGGCGTTGGTTCCCGGTTGGGTGCTTCTGGCTTCCGTTTCCCCAGCGCTCGCCGGCTCGCCAGGCTCGCCGCTCTCCCGCTCTCCCGTCGATTCCCGACCAACATGGCGGTATCGGCAGACTAGGGAGCGGCGGAAACATGTAGGCATCCTAGGGCGGACGGCCTGAGCGACGTCGAGCGCAAGATGCTTGCGTATAGTAAGTCAGTTGGACTTGTGCGGCGGGCAGTCGACGCGGCGGGCAGTCGAAGTCGAGGTCGAGACACCAGGAACAATAACGATACCACGATACTACGGACCACGACCAACGCACTCCGTCGAGCGAGGGAAAGACAAAACGTCCGGGTTGCTCGTGTAGCCGCCGTAGGCGCCACAGTGAAAACTGTGGTAGGCGCCTCGGGCGTCGACGGACGACGGCGACGGCAGGTTTGGTTGACTTGCGGTAGATGGCGCCACAAATCTTTTAGCGGCAATATTAGGCTTTTGAAGCGTTTCTGCATGCCTAAACAACAAGATTTTTTAAACTTAACCTTGAATCAAGCTTACAATTGCCTAACACTATCACTTACAAAAACCACTCCGAATGACGTCACACCACAGGTTCCATTTGCGGCCACCATGTGGCCGCAGGTTGGGAAAAAAAGTGTTTTTTATTTTGCGATTACGCAGCGAAATAGAGGTATTTTGGGGTATGGTGGCACTTTTTTTCTCACTTATGCTGAAGTAAACAATATAAAAAATACAAGCTGCACATTCTTTCAGTGTTAAAATCATTGCACCGCCCCTTTAAGGTGACTCACAGTCTCATCTCAAAGTAAGCCCCTTTAACATAGTCGAATGCTACCGAGTGAATAAACACCTACCGCAGTCACACGCTGGCGTTCGACTATGTTGCAAGGGCTTAAAGGTGCACACAAGTGGACTCTGAGATCGGCTATTTATGATAATAACACATCTACAGGCTCTAATCATCCAAAAAAAAAAACGGAAATCACGCTCATGGGCGATATTCCGGTTTCCCTATTAAAAGAGATTTCCCTGTTAAAAGTCTAATCAAAGATTGCGGCATGACCCTCTTTCTGCACCTTGGAGCAGACGCAAGGGGCGCCGTCCGACGGCGTTTTCAACAAATAATTGCCGTATTACGGCTCCTACACCCAAAAATTTGATGTTTTTGTCATAATATAATGTGCAACGCACCTAAAAAGAGTGATAATAGTGACGTTCGAAATTGTGCAATCAACTATTTTTATTCGTCAAATTTCATGGAGGCGGTAGGGACCCGAGGACAACCCCCAAAATAAAATAGTGCCCGTGTATTTCTATTGCTGTTAGTTTACTGAGACGTCCTGCGATCTAGAACTGGCCATTTTTATTGACTAAAGCCAATGAACAATATGCCATCAAAAACAACCTTCTTCAAAAATCACTCGTGTGCCCCTTTAAGTCCAGTTACAACCACGAGTCACCAAGACATTCGAGCCTCATATGAAGCACGCCATCCAACGTAAAGGGTAGCTTGGCAAGCGACGTACGAAGTGCAGACGTCCTAGCGACTCGCAGTCGTATCACGACGTAACGTCGGAAGACATAGTCAACCGCCGTGGAGCGAAGCGACCTTGGCCTCAACGCCACGTGCAGCACTACGATGCTACGCGTGACGCCATGCTTGGCGCGAGCCGGTGCTTCCGTAGAAATGTGACAGCTCCAGACTGGACAACAGCTCAAACAGCACCACAAACTAGAAGTCGTCTAGTCTCGAGACCTCGAGCGTGCAAGCCCCCACCTTTGCCAGGCGGTCGTGCGAAGGGGCGAGGAGCCTGAGGTCGGAGGCCCCCTCCTCCCCGCACGAGCTCTTCTCGCTGCTCAGGCCAGAGTCGCACGTCTCGAAGTCTTCCTCCTCCTCGTCCCCCTCGTCCTCCGAGGGACTCGAGTCCGAGGTGGCCACGGGAGGGGACCGGGGTCGCCCTGCACCCGGGGTCGGCCCCGAGGGCTCCTTCAGCTCCTCGTGCAGCTGGTCCAGGAAGCAGCGCAGAAACTCCTGCGCGTCCTGCAAAACGCACACGCACAAGTGGCAGGTGGGCACCTGTGCAATGCAGGGGTAGATTTATGAATCAGGCTTGGTTTAACACAGGACAAAGGTAATTTCCATTTACCAAAAACAAAAAGTTTTTTTCCTAAAAAAAAAAAAAAAAAAGTGACCTTTTTTTTGAAGCAGGGGGGGGCATTTCTCTTTCTTCCTGATTCCACCACTGGTGCAACTCCATCTAGTGAATGCGAGGTCTATTCATACTTCCGCACCTGTAATCCCACACCCGAGAGTCTTTTGCATTAGACTGGAAGCCTACGGGAACAATTGCGCATATTTGCGAGTATTAGCCAAATGTCACCATCTGCACGTAAGCAACCAAGACAGCTGGGATGTGCATCCTGCGGACGTCGAACGTGCACACGGGCTAGCTCACGAAACGAGTTACGGGCAGAGGCCCGTGCATCTCGTGAAACGTCAACTAAAGGATGTGATATCTTTTCATATTACCTCAGCCATAATTACAGTCCCGAGAGCTCCGCGTTTTAGATTGGAGGCCTACAGCAACCATTGTCAGTGCACCACGGAGCTTCCCATCGCCACCTTTGTCAGAATGCTTGAGTCAAAAGTGCAAGTGAATGAAATTCGTTGTTAAAAAGTATGGTTTCCCACTGAATTATGAGAAAAAGTAGCTCTGTGGCATATCGCACAGACATTTTCGACAGGAGTTGAGCCACATGAAGGAACTAAGCAGTGAATTGGGGCACATTTTCAGCCACTCATCACCTTTTACTTGTGCTTGACTCAGTTCAAATCCTTTATAACTGAGACATGCATCAGTGGCCAAAGAAATGAGGCCTGTATTTCACCGAAGTTTACAATGTCACGTTTCATAATGGTGGCCTTCACGTCTCAGAGAGCTGGATTATTTAAAAGAAGACCAACAACTTCATATGGCAGTGCGGCACCAGCTGTATTACACCTTTTGAGGGTGCTTCCGTTACGCCAATCCAGGCGTAATCCAAGTCTCCTTTAGAGCAGACGCGTTTTGAGCAGAAGCCTTTTGTATGGGCACCCACCTGTTGGCTGTAGCCACGAAACACAGGGCAGACCAGTTTGATTCCATAAGCGATGCCTGAGGGCACGACATAGCTGGGTCTGTGAAGAAAGACATAACAGACGGACATCGTGATTTTTACAGGCAAACCCTGTCAAGTGTTGTTTTTAACAATAAAAAGAACCCCAATATTAATAACATTATAAAGTGGAGATGCTTATAAGTCAGAAAGTCAGTAGTACTGCAAGCCCCACACCTTCACAAAGCATGCATTATGCATTACACATTATTAGGTGCTTTTTGTAATCCAGATTTGCGCAAGGCAATAGAGCGCAGAATGCTTACCCAGAAAAGACAATGTTACCATTCTTTTTTGTAAAACGCATTGTCAATTGGAACATAATTTGAAAAACCATATATGGCGTGAAGCGAGGGTAAAAACAGATGTTCATTTGAGCCATAAGTTTAGATGACATGACAGCTCAATGAATGGTTAGCTGCGGGAGTAATGGTCGCTTTTCTCTTAAAAACTATCACAAGTTAAGGTTGTTTTACCTGCCACACTTCATCACCACCCCGTAACCCCAGTCCTTAGACGATATCCACAATTTATTGTTCTCTTTGTAAGTAACACAAGGCTGGCAACAACGCAGCCGGACTACAGTCGTTTTTTTTGTTTTTTGACCGATCCCCCAAAAGTTGTCCTAGCACTATCTCAAACCACCTGGTAATAGTTACAAAGAGACAGAGGGAAAGAAAATTGGCAGGGAGGAAATATCCTACTTTTAGTTTCTAGGCTAGGTGGCGCAAGCTACTGCCCATTATGAAAGGTACAGCCATTAGCATCCATACATCCATCCATTCAAGCAACGAACGTCTGGCACACCCAATGCACCCACCTCCGCTTGTGCCACATCTCGCGCACCAGGCGCATGTAGCTCTTGGACAGGCCAGGCTTTTTGCTTGAAGGAACCAAGCTCCCGCAGTCTAGGAAGAAGTTGGTCAGCTGGGGGCTGGAAGAAAACAACATGGGAGGCAGTAGGCTCTTGTTTTTTTGTTTTTTTTTACAGCGAAGTTGTTTATGGCTAGGGTACCGTGGATTTTTCGTGTGCAGTGACTAAAAACTCTACGTTCGCACCGCCGCACGCGCATGCCTTCCCCGTATAAAAGATTCAAGTAAATAAGCAAAACAAAGCGTTGAACGCGTGTGCAGGATGCCATTTCTTTTAGACTTTTGCTTTAGAACAGTTACTGCTGCCAACGCTGGCACGTGCGGTGCATGGAACACCATTCCCTGCATTCTTCTACATGCTTGGGTAATTTAGACATAGCTCTATTCAGTATATTAGTTATCAATAGGCACCATTTTCAAAATCAGTAGAATCTAAAGTTTCTCCAAGATTTGCCGCTGTGCTACCCGCATCAGCCACGTCTACACTCGCACCGCCCTCTCTTTGTTGTCGTTCCAAGCCCCACTTGCGTGTCTAGTTTCCTTTCCTTCCGCTCTCCCGGGGTGGCGGTACCGTCACGCGTGTCTAATTTCCTTCGGGTGGCAGTCCCGTCGCGCGTCCAGTTTCCTCCGGCTCCTTGGGGCGGGTCTGTGTCACGTGATAAACACCTTCGCTCGTCACCCACCTTCACAGAGTGAAATGGCTTATGATTTTTTTTTCTTTATGAACCATCCATTCAAGGATGACTATTGTAAGATACCCAGCGTGCCGTGAGTGACCACCCACCACTGATGAAACATTAAAAAAATCAGCGAAGGACCTCTAGGCAACCATATACTCTTCCATGTCAAACGTTTCTCCAAGCATGCTGATGCGAAATGACGAGGCCACTCTATCACGAACCCCTTCCGCATTTTGGTTCCGGGACCTAACAAGTGCCCAGCCCCCAGTTTTTAAAAATTATCCACCGTAGAATACCGCGCTTCCACCCATTACACACTAAGCGCACATTTCCAAATTTGTAAGATCTGAGAAAATATACACAGTACGTTGATATGTAAAACTGATGACTGGACAAGCACCCATCCCCTATTTTTTTTCGTGATTATCTCTAAATTTTCAGTGGGCGCTTGCCTGATATCTTACGGTAGATATAATGGGTGAGTGCTTGCTCGGTTCATTACGGCATACGCTTGAGTCGAGATTCTACAGCTCTGTCTTTTATGTTTTCTGGCTCCAATGTATCAGCCCTGTACCAGCTTGTTGAGGACGGCTGACATCCAAGCGGGGATAAGTGGCGTAGAGTAATAGTGTCGTTAGTATGAAATGAAAGCACTGAGTTGATTATAGAAGGGAAATCTAGTGAAAACATTCATGGAGAAGCAGATGGAAGGGGGATTATGATCACACAATGGCTCACCTTAAGGGGGGACATAAGCCTAAATTTTAAATTTTTTTGAAAACATTCATTTTTCAATTTTAAGGTTTTCAGTTTCATAAACTTATTATACACCCTTACACCAAATTTGATAACCATACGCCAAATAGTTATGTTGATATAAAATATTTTCAACCCATTATGAGGCAGTAACAAAGTAAAGGAGTTGAATGTTCGAATGCATTTTTCTCAGTTCCACTTTTTGCTGCAAAATTCATACGAAGGAATCTTTTGTTCGAAGGTAAAAGTATTTGGATACCACAATCAAGATGTTTCTGAACTGAAATTTACTGGGGAATTGGGCTATCTACTTTATTTTGTTTTAAGTTGAAGTCCTCAGTGATAAAAAGCCAAGTTTTCAAAAATTGACATAAGGACAGATATGCATCTCATATTTTGAGGTAATAACTCTTCCTGAAATATTTACATTTAAGTTATTAAAACTAGATAGCCCGAGGTCCCATATCCCCCACTTTATATTCAAGCAGTCAAAGTGATGCTTATTAGCTTCATTTGCATATCATAGATTTCTTAATGAAAAGTGACACATCATCTCATGCAGGTATGCAACTTTGTCCTAGAGAGCTGAATGTTTGCACAGTACACCTACATCTGAAGCTAAATCTCCCCTGAAAATTTCATTTTGATCACTTGAGTAGTTCAAAAGTTTGACCTCTAGCCAGTGTCCCCCCTTAAAAACAGGCAAAACTTCTCGTGGCAATAAAATGAAAGGTGACAGCACACACGTGAGGCACTGGAAATTGCTTGGAAGCGGCAAACAACTTGTATAATGAACACAACCTCTCCCAATCAGCCCTGTACAAACTGTACAACACCGTCATCACAAACACAATACATTTTGCATGTTACTTTTAAATTCTACTGGCAAGCACCAGAATGTATCGCTTAGATTAGTACCCTTTACGAGTGTCAAGTTTGATAACAGATAATAAAAAACAAACAATGGCAATTTATTGTGTCGTGGAAACAGTGTTGCACTCTGCACATGTCAGTGTTTTCAATACCATCCTATGGAGCTAATTAAGAATAAAAGATAAAATATGCCTCAACTTGATACTAGCATTTAATAGGGGAAAAGCAACAATATATATAGTCAAAGCAGGTTGTGACTCACCAATTTGACAGAGCCTGAAGTGCTGCATTCATGTAGCATGTGTTGCCCAAATTCTGCAGCCCTGTTAGCCCTGCAAAAAGGTTGAGACATTTAATTTTTATTGTTTTGCTATTTGAAAAAGGGTGTTGTTCTCCCCTGTGCAAATTATAAATTCCCAGGTCGGAAAGAACAGATGCCTCTGAGCAAGAACCCATTAGAACATACTGAAAACACCGCAGTAAAGGCCCTAATGAGGCACTAGCACTGTTATCTCCAACAACACTCCTATCCCAGTAGGGGTTCTGATGTAAAATAAATTACTCTGCTATTCCACAAACTAAGCTAGATCTAGTATACCAGCCCAATTGAAATGAAGGGTATTAAAATTGGAGTAGTTTCTTACATGTAACATCAGGATTATATTAAAATTGTTTACCTCTACTGATTTATTAAAGGGCCTCACTATATTCCGTTCATCCCTAAGCTGACAGTGCAGTGGGAGCTACGTGCTTGCCGGACCAATCAGCAGCCTCCCTTTCATCACCTGACCCCATTCTCAGCGCGTGGGCATGCGCAAGGAAGTGTGATCACGTGGCAAAAAATACAAGTGTGGCTGGCCCAACGTGCATGTAGCTTCCAATACTACGGGCTATAGGGAGGGGAAGTAATTTCTGTCTAAAATTTAAGCAATGGGCTAATCTTCTAGGGGGAGGGTGGCGACATCCAAGTACACAAACGAGGGTCGGCGCAAGAGAAGTTCTTCCTTTCCATCCTCTTGAACTGTTTGGTAACGCTGCATGATTTTTGAGTTGAGGAGGAAAGCTAAGAAGGAAAAAGTTAAAAAATTGTTTTATGGCCCCTTTAAAGACAAGCACGTCAGAGGCCATAAGACCTTTCTTGCTATTCGTGTATTGGTAAGATGTTCTCATGACATTTTTGCCCAATCGTGAACGGGTCAAAACTCTCTCATTGGTTGATTATGCGCAAGCTGTGACGCCACATACCATCGGCAGCTGAGAATGCTCTCGCCCTCACCTCTTGGCCAAAATCGGACCCCAGGTACTACAAGCCGTGGTCACTGACGAATCTAGCACTAACGCATTAACCTTTATTGTGGGATAATTTTATGTGGGGTTACGCAGGATACTTTTCCACATATCACCTTCGATTAAAACACCTGTGTGTGGCATACTTTTACGTGGGATATCTTTATACAAAACACTTTTATGTAGGATGCTTCTACACTTACACAGAATACCTTTATAGAAAACATCTTTAGATAGAGTATCTTTGCATACAATGCTCTTATATAGGAAACTTTTATGTAAGATACCTTTAGACAAAACAACTTTGTGTAGAACGCTTTTATGTAAGATACTTTTACACAGAATATCTTTATACAGAATATGTTTCTGTAAAATTCTTTTATGTAAGATACTTTTATGCAGAATTCCTTTAGGTGGAATACCTGTACGCAGGGTATTTTTATCTGGGCCCAAAGCCTCACCTCTGGGCTTGAGTCCGTTTTCTTGGTCAGCCTCGTCGTCGGAGTCTGGATCCTGGGCCGGGGACGAGGCCCCCTGGGGAACGCGCGCGGCCCCCGCAGGGGTGTGGGCCGTCCCCTGGGGGAGGGTCCTGTTGCTGCGCGGGGAGGCGCCCAACAGGGGCGGCCGGTTGTTCTCCAGGAACACCTCGCTCTCGCACAGGTAGCACCAGACCCTCAGGGTGCTCAGGTTCAGAGTCACCGAGTGCTCGCAGCAGCCCTGTAGGAGGACAGGACGTGCTCACGACAGTGCCGGGACATCCCGTCAAAGCCGCCACCAAAAGGAGACAAACGAGATTTATCCATGCAATCTGCAAATCGCATCAGTCGTCCGCTTCCGAAATAAACTACCGTAACATCCCGAGTGTGCAACCACCCTCGAACCTTCGGCCTATGTCGAAATATCTACCGTAAAGTTCCAAAAGAATGTCAACCCCCGAGATATCGCCCATCCCGTTTTTTTGGCTAAATATCTGTAACATAAGAATTCCAAAACATCACCCACCCTCCGATTTCCGTCGGATCCCACTCCATGTCCGACGGGAATCGCATCAACCACGCAATTTGCTGTACAGGCAAGTCTGACAAGTGAATTCATAGCGGGTTCCCGCGCTTTTGTGCGCGATGTGTGTGCTCGATATCGGCTCCAAGTTGCTTCCGAGTGCATGTTTCACCGTGAAATGCAAAATCTGCTGCGTCCGCAATTTGCGGTATCCGTTCCCGTGAGATAAAGTTTGTAGCGGATTTTCGCGTTTTTGTCCGTGATTTGCGCGCACGATATCGGCTCCCGTAACACGCAAGTTGTTCCCGCATGTATGTTGCACCGTGAAATGCGAAGCTCCTGCGTCTGCAATCTGCGGTATCCGTGACAAAGTTTGTAGCAGATTCTTGCGTTTTTGTCCACGATCTGCACGCATGATCTCAATTCCGTGCAAGTTGGTCCCGCTTGTATATTGCATCGAGAAATACGATTCGTATTTCTCGATGCGTTCGCGACCTGCGGTTTTTGTACGCAAAAAATTATGAGTTTGTAGCAGATTCCTGCGTTTTTGTCCGCGATCTGCGCCACGACATCGGTTCCCGTGGCAGGCAAGTTTGTAGCCGGTTCCCGCGTATTTATTGCACCATAAAACTTGCATCTGCTGCGTCCGCGACTTGCGGTATTCGTTCCCGTGAGATGCGAGTTCTCGGAAGGTTTGCGCGGGTCCTTCACACCGTGAAATGCGAATCAGCTGCGTCCCAACCCTGCGATATCCTTTCCCGTGACACAGGAGTTCGTAGCGAATTCCCATGTTTATCGCATCGTGAAACGCGAATTTGTGGTGTCCGAGGTCTGCGGTATCAGTTCCCGCGTCACGTGGTTTGTAGCCGGTGCCAGGGCATTTATCATTAATTTTTGATAAGGTTTTGCTGGGGCGTCCCCAAAGATAGCCCACCCCATGTTTTTCACCATTTATCTCTTCATTTTGGGTGGGCGTTCTTTCGGAATGTTACGGTATGTCGAAGAAAATCCCGATACATTGCCCACCCTCCAAAAATAGCAATTCCGAAGAGTTGAGGACACACAGGCAGACCTTCCTTTTTAGATGTATCCGGATGCACGCACATATGCACCAAATGAGAAAGTTGCACGATAGCCTATTCCCTGTGATTGACAAGGCATCCCTATGCCAAAGTATTTGCCAAAGCGATCGCCGACTTTCTCACTTCTCCGGCGTCGTTCTTCGTCGTTCTTTTTACCCGCTCGCTCGCTCTCTGAGCTTGAATTTTTTTTATTTAGGTTAGCAAAGGCTTTGGGGGCCTAACAAAGGGAACGTAGCAGTTTTAGAAACGTGTTTTCACAGAACAAACATTTGGGCTCTATGCCAACCCCCAGTTATCATTGCATGTATGCAAGCAACAGACTTTGCAATGGTAAAACATTCTTTCAAAAAAACAGGTGGGCGAATCTCGAAGATTCAACCACCCACATATTTTCCCCAATTATCTCCCGTGAAAAGGTGGGCGTTCGTTCAGGATATTGCAGTAAGGCCCCACATGGAACACATTGACTGCCACTGCCAAAATTAAATGGTAGTTTGAGTGCCAGGCCATAACTCTATTGGGTTCTGAAACTCAAGAGTTTCTTACTTCCATCGTGTCAGCTGAAGTGGTTGCAGGATAAAAGGTAACTTGTTCTTAACAACCTGTGTTGCTCACGCTACACCTCAGATGCCTTATTTCAATGGACCCAAACTAGCCAACTGGCTACGGGTCCATCTCAGTGGCATAGCCAGGAATTATTTTCAGTGGGGAGGGAGATGGGATATCCGTGATCCGAGGGGGGGGTTGTCCAATCTTTCTGTGTACTAGTCGATGTACTGTACAATTCACGGGTACGGTCACGGCAGTCTCCAAACACCCAGTTGGCTGGAACAATTCGGTAGTCATTCAATATTTCTCTTCCTTTACCAAAAATATATTAAAAAAAGAAAAGCGTTTACAATTCTCTGAAATGCCGAATTAGAGCGCAGCCCTTTAAGAGGCAGAGGGGAGCATATGCCCCTCCTCCTCTTCTGCTCCTCTCCCATTTAGCAGGAAATGTGCGCTAAATTTAGCGGGGAAACTTTTTCTGCTAAATTTAACAAGGAATTTTTTCCCCTGGATTAAGCAAGGAAATTTTTCTGCTAGATTTACCGGAAAAAATTTTTCACTAACTTTAGAGGAAAATTTTGTCGGCTAAACTTAGTGGGGAATTTTTTCTGCTAGATTTAGCGGGGAAAGTTTTCCGCTAAAATTAGTGGGGGAAATTTTTTCGATAAATTTAGCGAGGAATTTTTTCTACTAAATTTAGCGGGAAAATTTTTACGCTAGATTTAGTGGGCAAATCTTCTCATAATGCAATGCGCAGTTACGCCTGCTTGCATTATTCCCATAATGCAACGTGCGCGGTTACGCCAACGCAGCTCAAGCCAGAAAGGGGCGCCTAAGAGCTGCGCTTTAAAAGTGATGACGTCGAGGGGGGTGGGGGTTTAGCCCCCCAAATCACACCCTGCCTACGCCACTGGTCCATCTGCTTTTGCAGTAACATGTATGTACACTGATAATTAAATTAATTGAATTGAATTGAGTTGGAAAGGGGTTACACAAGACCTCTTGTGAGCAGCACCTCTTAGCAACTGGGTCAAAAAGGGTGCTACACAAGACCTCTAACAAGCAGTGAGTAACGACAACACCTTTTGAACCCCTTTGGAATACAACTCTCCTTGAACTCCTTCAAAATGTGAAGGTAGGAAAGCAATAAGGTGCAGCCCACCTGAAAATGCAGGGTGCTGTGGTCCTTGAAGGCCTCTCCACAGCCCACATAGAGGCAGTCCCGGTACAGGCAGGCCCATAAGCTGGGGCCACTGGCTCCACATGATTCGCACCGCCACTGCTGCAAGTGCAACCAACGACCTCAGCAAATCTCTTTCCTAAAAACTCATGTCATGTAGCAGTCCGGGCAGACTGTAAACTAAGTCTTCACCCACACTAAGGTAGGAATAAAGAAGGTCACACAATATCCATTTGCCTTTACCTGAAAGCTCAACCATGTCATCTTTAAACACTTTCTACAGTCATTAACCCAAATTCCAAGCTAAGTCAAGCAGTATATATTGAAAATGAAGAAATAATGTAATCCCAGCAAGGATCACATCCCCAAAGATCACCTCCAAGGCTAAACATGATACAATTAGGAGGGGCCATGTGCATGTGTGGAGAGTTTTAGTAAGCAGAATACAGTTCAGCTTTGCTTTTATTTTGTAAATAAATTCCTCTGCATCAATGTTTTTCATTGATATCCCTGGTAAGTGCAGTCGTGGTATAACAATAATACATGGCAGCATTTAGAAAATCAGAGCACTCGGTGCTCATTTGGAGAAGAGAGCTCGGGAGGTTACAAACAGAAGGAAATGTAATATTATTGAAGAAAGCCACAGAATGACAGTAGCTGCGAACAAATCTCGTCATGACCTACGAGACCGCTACGTAATGGATGTCATGTACGAATGAATGACTGGAGCTAGACATAGAGATGCCTCCCTTATCAAAGGACAGTAAAGAGATGGGTGAAGATGGTCTGGGTACCTCCTGCTTCCTTGCGATGTCCTCCTTGGTGAAGTCACCCACAGTGGTGACGTGGGGACAGGCACTGAGAGCGCCGCCGCTGTTGCCAGCCATGGGCCCTCCCTCTGCGGCACCCGAAATCGGCTGCAGGAAGGGCCGGCTGGCCAGGGGCCCCTAAGACCCAGGAGCGGCTTCCTGAGAGTCCACGAGTTTGTTCACTGAAAGTTAAAAGCACGACACTCAGTGGAGGGTGATCATACGTGTCAAATACTGGCGTACGACAACTGCAAGCCACCGACAGTCCGCATAATATATTTCTACAAAAATAAACAGAGCTGGGAAGTTTGATGCAACTGACACCATCATTTTGGTAGGCATTGAAGGAAGCTAGAGGTATAAGTTTCGTATTAGGTCTCCAACTTTTCTCAGTTTCCACATTTCACTACTGTTTCAATAGAAGCAAGGAGGCAATACTTGGAACTGCACTTGCACTTTTTTTTAAGCAGGTGAAGGCCTGGCTGAAATAAGTTCACACAGCATAACTTCAATACCTCTTTACTACGTCTTCAACACTGTGATCCAAGTCCAGTTTAAAAAGGAAGCGAGTAATTTGGCCTGTTATTGGTGACACCACTTTAATCTTTGCAGTAGATTATAAACAAACAAGACCACTCGTTCTGTTGAATAACAATTGTGAAAGAAGGTGTACTCACAAATAGGCCAGGCATTGCAAACAAGTTACATTTCCTTCTATCCACTTCAAGGCTGGTCTGTAAACGATTTTAAGTTGAGATAACAGGCTTAAGCTGCAGAACTCACCGGCTTACCTCCTCTGACCTCCAAAACACAGCCAGGATACCGAAACTGATTCAATGTATGAGTCCTTCCTATACTTATTTCATTGCGAGCTGGACCAACGCTTGGCTGCCTTCTGTCCGTCCCCACGAAATCTGAGTTAGCGCCCAAATTACGTTTTCTCGACTGACTTTCTGAGTTGTATATCATTTTCGCAGAGACACCATCTAAACTTCATTCATTGCAGCGGCATTTCCTTAGTGAGAGCAACACGATGCAAGACGAGCTTCCGATCGCGTTCTGCCGTACCAGCTCCCTAGATTCACGCCGAAGCCAAATTATCGGGGTAAACATGAGAATGCAACGAGGGTATGATTTGGGTCTACCCTTCACTTTACATCCCAGCTTCCTCCGAGGTCAAATGTTCGCAAGGCGTGATCGGGACAGGAGCAGGTTGCGACTGCGATGTCCGCGTACACACAAACACACGCACACAAAAAAAAAAAATTGATTTGAGCGGAGAAGAAGGTCTATTGCTGCGGCTTACCTTAGCCGACGGCGTGCGCAGGTACAACTATCGAGCGCTCTTCCATCGATCAGAGGCAGCGCACGTTCCTCCTTTCAGGGGACTTCTATTGGCGGTACCGCCAACTACGACACAGATATCCGAGAAAAGAAGCAACACCTGCAAGAAAGAAAACATTGGCGCCACTGACAGCGAAGCCGCGGTTTCCGCGTCAGTCCCCGAGTCGTAACACCGCAAGAGCTCGACAAAGATCAATTCAACCACTTCCCCAGGAAACGCTCCGACAAACACCAGCGCAGTTAAAAGCTCTTTTCTTTTCTCGTGATAGCTTGATAATAAAGCTGTTATGAAAACTCTGAGATGTTTATTTTTCGAAGCTGGAACCAACAGGGTGCACTGAACGAACCATCGACGAGCCAGCGCTGCGTTTAGCGCAAAAATATCAAAAATTGCAAGTGGCGAGCATGACATCGGAGTTGCTTCGACCCCGTGCCCGTGAAAGGCATGACGTGTATTAGATGTACGCACCTACAAGAAGTGAAAGTAGGATCTTTTGCGTTGAAGGAATCCTGGGTAATCGGTAGGCAGGAGTTTGAAGTAGTTTAACAACGCGAAAACCGACTAAAATAACTGGCTTCTTTCACCACCGGTTAGTACAGCACCACAGCACAGAAGCGGGCGCGGACGCAATGCAGCCGTTGTGCCACCTGCGGTAGTTTTCCGTACTAACTTTACGCGATTTTATTTTAGTTTAATAATGGTTTGAATTAAACGGTTGATGGACCCACGAAACTAATTTTTAGGTAAGATAAAATCTATTTTGTGTTTTTTTAAGCGTTTCAGAATATAAAGAGTTTAGAATTACCTGCACAGAGGCCGCAAACGAGAATCAGCAGAACCGAAACCAATGCGCGCGGTTTGGGTTTGGGAAGAAAATATAGGTTTCGGCAGCATTGTTGAAATTAAAGACAGCGTAAACGGTAAACTTGGTGTTTTTTTTTTTTGTTTTTGTTTTTTGTTTGAAGTTATTGGCCATTGAAGCGGCCGAGGCGAAAACTGACGTTTCTTCAGCCTGTCGGAGATGGCATTTTTGACTACTCGCTATTTTGTCAAGGCAATTTTTAAATAGTCTTCGAAAGTTTTCCATTTTGAAATAAATTCAATGATCACTCTCTCTTCTCTTCGTTATATATATATATATATACATATATATGTTATTATTATTATTATTTATTTTATTTTTTTAGGGGCTGTTTTTAACGGGTTTCAACGGATTAACGGATTTTTTAACGGACTGAAGAAGGACCTGGGTCTCGAAACGTTTCCAGCTTTTTTATCGGTCGACGCACAAGATTTTTACCATCAAGGGCAATTTCTCGTTTGAATTGTATTACTCGCAAGTGCTTGTTTTCACCCACGTCAGTTCCCCTCTCTCTCTCTCTCTCTCATATAAAGGGTGCCACAAAAGAAAATTTACACGGTCTTTTTACCACAAAAATAAACTAGGTATCGCCGAACGCTGATTCTCTGCCTAAAGGTAGCGCTAGAGGTCACAACCAGATGCCAAAGTTTTAGCCCGATCTGATAACTTAATCAAAAGTTATAAGTGATTTTCTAAAAATATCAATGGCAAAATGGCAGCCGACGGAGTTTTCAAACACATGGGGCTCTTTGGCACCAGAAACCGAAAACGGGCAAAAATGGGCTTCATTTTCCCTATTGAAATTTTCAGAAAATCACTTATGACTTTATCGGGCTGAAACTTTGGCATCTGGTTTTGACCTCTAGCTCTACCTTTGGGCGCAGAATGAGCGTTCGGCGGTGCCTAGTTTATTTTTGCGGTAAAAAAGACCGCGTACATTTTCTTTTGTGAGCCCCGAGAGCGAACACACGCGGCGCTGCGGTCGCCGCGCCCTGATTGGGTAAGGTGCACCGTGACGTCAGGGGAAGGACTCCGCTTCGCGATCTCGCATCCGGCTCGCTTCGCTGCCACGGTTTCCTGGTTTGGCCGTTGTGTGCCGCAAGCACTTTCAGGAGCGAGACCTCGTTTACCCGATGTACAAGACGCTGGGTTAGGCCGGTACTTCACATGCTTCCGTACCTTCTATAAGCGTGCTTGTCATTTCTACCTTTATAATTGGGTTACAAATCCCGAAAGCTATCGGCGGAGCTGCATACTTACATATTTATGTCGGGCATTTATCCCTTATGTCTGCGATGTTTTGATTTTCCTAGGTCACAAAACTTTTTTTTTTTTTTTCTGCTCAATTATCATAACGTTAGGAGAAACTCGTCGCACCAAAAAGCCCGGAGAGTTCAGCGTACCCGTCGTATTCCTCGACAACACTTTCACGTGGCGCCTTTACACAAGTTGCGCGACCCGATCTTCCTCGGACAGACCGAGCAACTGGTCACGCTCGAACGTGCTCCTCTATTAATCAGCGTAATCAACGTGCGCATAACACTCCGTGCGACGCGACTGGCGCGCCGCCGCGCGGCAGGTACCTAAGGTAGGCAGTGAGAGCCCCAGAGAAAACGAAACCGAAACCACGCCGCGTACGTTGGTACGCATTGAAGTCGGAGTGGTGCGGTTGCGCTGGGTTCACAGCATGAAGTGCTGCCTGTGCTGCGTCATTAAGTGCTTCAATAGTTATGCGTCATATCTCGTGTAGACAAAGTTTCACCGTTTTTCACCTCGCCGATGTTTTGTGGAAAAGCGACAACGATGGAGCCGTGCCGTACGACGCGAAAAATTTTGTCTCCCGATCACTGATCGGGAGACAAAATTTTTCGCGTCGTACGGCAAACAAACGCAGAGCGCAAAGCGGCAGTGTAGCTATAATATGTCAGCCGTGCCGACACAGTGGTAGAGTCTACCACTGTGTCGGCACGGCTGACATATTATAGCTACACTGCCGCTTTGCGCTCTGCGTTTGTTTTCGTACCAGTAACGCCTACATCTGTTAGCGCCGATGGGACGAACTGAAACGCCATCCCACACTCGCGGGTATGCAGTGCCAATTTCGTTGGAGGAATGCCCTTTAAAGAAGTTTCGTCCCCATCGTCCGTGTCAATGATATTTCCGGACAAGTATGGCACGCAATCTGTACTTCATGAAGAAAGATTCGAACGGTAAAAAGGTGACAAATATAAATCTAAAGAAAACAACAATGAAACTCGGAATCACTGGAGAATCGACGTTTGAGTATGGAAGTTTATGTGGTGTGCTTTCTTTCTTGATCAGCCTCCTTTTGGATGTGGAAACGTTGACACCCCGAGTTCTGTAGACAACAATTTTTTTTTTCTCGGCTTTAGAGTCACCTATTGCAAAGTGGTTCGAACTGGAATTACCGTCCACTGGTCCCTTCCTGCCTGTAAAGTGTGCACCTCCACCGTTGAGTGGTATTATCTGACAACCTTTGACGGTCAAAGCCAGTTCCCATTTAGTTACGCCGCCCAAACTAAATTTCCGCCTGGTTTCCCTCTGCCACCTCGCACAACAGGTTATTACAGAACAGCAGACCGCAAAAGCCCTTGGCGGCCAAACCGTGTTTTGGCCGACAACTTTGTTTTCTCGGCTTTGGAACCACCTTTCGTAAAGTTGTTTCAATTGGAAGTACAGTCCACCCTAGTCCCTTCCTACCTCTAAAGTCTCCACCTCCCCCGACCAGTGATATTTTCTTGACAGCCTTTTCATGGTCAAAACCGGTTCCCATTGAGTTACGCCGCCCAAACCAAATTTTCACCTGGTTTCCCTATGCCACCTTTTTTTTTTTTTATAATAAGTGCTGTGTCATGTTACTGTCAAGACCAAGCACCTGTGTGCCCAAATCTGCTCTTTACACAGCCCGCTATAACACAACATTTTGGGTCGAATATTGGATATCCCGTACAGCTTTATTCCTTTATTCATTAGAAACCTAACTTTCGCACGTGCAAGAAACTTGGCACTCTTCGTGCACAAACTTAATGAACATCTCACTCGGCTCCAAATATCATCATTCCAGCAGTGCTAGGTTTACAGCGACGAGCGAAATAAATTTCCCACCCAGAGCAATCAAGGTGGCGGCCGTCTTGTTTTTCGGAAAATTGCTCCAACTCCTTTTTTCGGCCGCAACTAGAGAAATTCCCCCTAATAACAACTCAAACTCAATATATAAGAAGTGGAGAACAGCTAAATGCCCTTCTGCCCCAGCACTCATGCAACGTCACCCTCAACGTATCGGCTCAAAAAGCAAAAGTTTCGTCCGTGAGCGCTTCCGCCGCCACAGCTTGGCATGCGAAGAGGCGCCGCAGGCTGCTGAACGCGCCTCACAGTCGAACGCCAGCTCCTCCGCTAGCGGCGCTGCGCGCGTTTTTCAAAGCGCCCCCTATAGTTCCCGCACGGAGTGTATAATCACCATGTTACCCAAATAGATGTCGATATAAAGCGACGTTGATTCACTCAATACACACACCGTTTGTCTTGTGTAGTAGTTACACTCGGCTATTGTGATTACCATGACTATTTTTGTTACAGTCCGGGGACCTCGTAATGTATACCTGCATAACTTCGTTGAGGAATATATATATATATATATATCGTTTGTGTGTGTGCGTGCAAAAGTAAGGTGCGCAGACGCAGCAGCCGTGGGAGGATAAAAATTAAAGATATAACTTAAAGGGCCCATGAAAAGAAGAAAACTGATTTTGTTTTTAAACAGTCTGGCTGGAACACGCGCGTCAAGAAATAAATTTTACGCGAAAAAAAGTTTTTTTTAGAACAATACTGACGGCGAGCGATTTATTTGAAATTCTGCGCGCAAAGTCCATGACGTCACGGGTTATTCCGGAATGACCATCTCGGGCATTCGCTCTTTCCACCTCAACGTGATGGCGAAACCGATCCACCTCTCCTCTACGGGCCCGAAATGCCGAGAGAGAAATCAAGTCGAAAGGAGGTGACTGCCGACTCAATCCCGTCTCGCGCCGTCAGTATTGCTCTATTTATTTTTTTTCGCGTAATATTAATTTTTAGACACGCGTGTCCCAACAAAACTGTTAAAGAAATAGGGTTTTTTTTAATGGCGAAAGGAGTCACACAAGAAAAAAGAGTAAAGTGGCGAAAAAAAAAAAAGTTGTATACTTTGAAGTTAGAGAGAAAGGCCAGATTTGTAGGTTTAGAAAACTTGTACTTTACTTGAAGCACATTTTCTGATATGTACTTCCACCATGGGCGTAACAACCGGGGGGCGCTTTCCCCCTCCCCCCTTTCTCAGAGTAGGGGGACAAGGCATGTGTTTTGCCCCCCCCCCCCCCCCTGAATCAGCCGCTACTGGGCAGGGCAAACACTGGCCGGCGGCGCCCAAGCATACCAAGGGCACCGCCCCCCGACCCAGGGGGGGATTCTGGTTTGCCCCCCTACTCAAAAACAAGTTGATACGCCACTGACTTCTACTTTACTTCAAGTATTTCTTTTTTCTGGTACTTTCCGAGAAAAGTACAACTCCCGATTTCACAATACAAATGGCATATTAGGGAGTTTTCGTAGACCGCGTTTCCCCCTCAGCTAAGCCCTCCGCAAAAAAGAAGCCGCTCCTGCGCTTGCGCCCCGATGGCCTTGACTGTAGAGTTCCGCGTACCGGAGAGAGCGTTGCGGGACGGCAAAAACGATTTACGAAAACTCCCTATTATCATGTGAAAATGCGCTATCATCTTC